AACACTTCGGTCCATATCAACAGTGATAAGTGAGTACTGGCATAACAGCCATGGTGAAAGATCCAAAGGTTCTCTGATGTCCTCCTTAACAGCTCTGCAAGCTTTAACTGACTGATGAGGCCGTTACAGGCAAATAAAGGCTAGTTGCGTATTCCTTACAAAATGTTGCAAAACCAACCGCTGCATGTTGTTTTTAAATTTGTATGTGTGTGTGGTATTTTTGTGATTTTACTAGATAATTAAACGTTTAATGGCCTGCCATTTCTAAACGGACGGCTCTGTAAACTATTGTCGAAACCACTTCCAGGCGGTGACTGCCAAATCGCCTGCAGCTGGGATAGAACCCAGAACCTCGGCATTATGAAACGCGTTCTCGACACTTAAGCTGCGGTCGCCGATTTACACATTAAAAGACAACACACACAAACAAAGACTTAAGTAGGCACTGAGTGCAAGCAAGGAAGAGAACAAAGTGTTCTTGACACAGATCAGCTAATCTTCAAGGCGTAGAGCACTTGGTATGATAGTGATGAAACTAGATTGAAACAAGCAAAGATAAGAGACGCGTAGAAAGCACACTGACCACATGACAAACAAATATCGACAGATATTGACATGGTCAAGTCACCTCCTGAGATGGTGAAAGTTGTTTTATCCAAGCATGGAAGCAGTCATGATGTTTTATGAGCATTTAATAAGGTCACCTCTTCTTCTTCTTCTTCTTCTTTCGTTCGCCTGAAATAAGTTGTATATATCAGCAGTTTTGTCTCTTGTATAAATTTCACTGTCGTTGTTAGTTCGTTTAGTGGTCCATAGAGTTTACGTTCCACTGTTGTTCTTTCTGGCCAAAAGGTTTGCCTTAATGTGTAAAATTCGGTGCAGTCCTGGAGTACATGCTCTGCGGTCTGGGGCACATTTCCACAGGTGCACATGGCTGATACACCTATCTTGAATTTTGTGTACATGTGGTTACGTAATCGGTTGTGTCCTGTTCTGAGGCGGAGGATAATGACTTGTTCTGGTCTGTCCATAATAAAATAGTCGTCTTGTGCTGGGGCTGGTGGTTTCCTGATCGATTTAATGATTCTTTTCTTTTGGTGGTATGTGACTTGTACATCCGGCTGCTCTTTTGTCACACCTTCCCCTGCCAGTTGATCAGCTTTCTCATTTCCAGACACTCCACAATGAGACGGTATCCACTGCATTACGACTCTTCGCTGAAGGCTGTTGTGTCAGCAGTGTTTGCAATTCTGGTAGTTTCCTAGACTGGAGTGCTTCAAGTACTGATTTTGCATCTGTCAGCATTACCACATACTGTGAGCCAAGATTGGTATTTAGCAGTTTCTCTGTCGCTAACTTGATAGCCTGAGTTTCTGCATCATAGTTATGGCAGTACTTTCCGGTTGGTACACTGGACTTATCCCTCGTACCATCTGGGAATTCGATGTACACTCCAGCACCACCATTTCTAACTGCCCTTTCTGCGGACCCATCTGTATAGACTCTGACCCATTGTTCTTGTGGGTATTCTTCATCAATGTAACTGAGGGTGGCCATTCTGCATCACCTCTGTATGTACGTCTGGTCAAAACGTTACCCTCGATCTTTACACTATCAAAAACAAACACTATGAAACGCTTGAATTGTCCATGGTAAAAGCTATTATCTGTAAACATGCGACTCAGTCGTTTTAAAGGCATATAAAATGTAATTGTATGTACTTTACTATCAAGAGTACCCAATATGTTTGTTTCTCAAGTAGTGATAGAAAATAATAGTTCAATTAGTACCCAATGTGTTTGTTTCTCAAGTAGTGATAGAAAATAATAGTTGAAGAGAATTAGTTAATCCATTGAGACTCCACACGAGCATAGAGACTGTTTGGAAATCAATTCACACTTGCAGCGATGAGTGTTTATTATTTTGATAGCCTATTCCGCATACAATGAAAACTAGTGTTCATTAAACTCACTCGAGTGTAATGCTGGATATGACCATCTGAAAGTAAAACGCTTTTGAAATGTGTGGAATGTGATGTTGTGAAAGCTCCCGTTACTCAGTTAAATGTAAGCCAGCTGACTGTTTGCTTTGAATAGATGTGGTGGTTGGTTTTTTTTTTAACCTAAAAAAAAAAAAAAAAGTCAAGTGAAAACTATATGTTCGTTTACATTAAACAAAAGATTGTTACAAGGACATGATTATTAACACAGGTTGCATGCAAAATTTCAACTTATACCGAGCGGTTACTGAATTACAGATTTTTACAGCTGTTCACGACTTCTTGAACAAACTGTACCAGTGTCACTTATAATATACTACTACTGCTGCTACTACTACTACTACTACTACTACTACTACTACTACTACTACTACTAAGTCTACTACTATTACGACTACTGCTGCTGCTGCTACTACTACTACTACGACTAAGTCTACTACTATTACGACTACTACCGCTACTGCTGCTGCTGCTGCTACTACTACTACTACTACTACTACGCCTAAGTCTACTACTATTACCCCTACTACCGCTACTACAACTAATATTAATAAACAATGCCAGTCTACAGAAATTGTAACTATCAGTTATATAAAGTAAGTAAGTAAAGATCTCTTCCCACGCGTAATGCGCATCGGATAAATGAGAAGAGCATCTCATATTTTTACAGACCAATCTGTACTAGGTGGGTAATGTGGTCAGCATTACGCCAGCCGTCTTTACTTTCATAGGACAGCCATTCTGGTACTAATTTTTAGACTGGGTCGACCTATGACGCCCCATAACATGATAAAAATCCACGCTATATCAATTGATATAAGTTAGTTGCGCATCCTGTACAGGACGCTGCAGAACCAACCCCTGCTTTTTTGGCCGTTGTGGTGTTTCTAGGCAAATTTTACGTTTAGTAGTTTGTCATTGCTACTGAAAGGTCACCGCTAGGTACCCCTGTCGAAACCAACGCAGGACAAATCGTCCGCAGCTGGGATCGAACCCGCCACCCCTACATTACAAAGCTCGTTCGAAACGCCTAAGCCACAGTCGCCGACATCAATTAATATACCGTGTATAAATTACAAGAAAAAGTATACTTTCAATAAGACATTCTAAACTCACATAAACTATCCTAAACACACTGCCTGTAAAACACACACACACAGCCACACATACACACACACACACAGCCACACACACACACACACACACACACAGCCACACATTCAATGATTTGTATTCACAGCGGTTTCCCCGAGTCCAAGATGGCGAGTTCTCAGTTCTTGTGTACTTCAGTGTCATCTGTCCCGTGGAGCATGACGGGAAACCACACCATGGAATTGAGTACTACGAATTGCGCATGTTCCGAAAAGGTGATATTTATTTGTGTTCACTTTTTTTTTTTTAATTTTATATATATATATTTTTTTTAAAGAAGTTATCTTAAAGATCTTTACAATGAAAATTGAAGACATGTCATATTTTCAAGCCTATGATATTTCAGAAGTTGATTTGATTGATACCAATTTCGGCATTAATGAAAGTAAGAATTTTAAAACTGTAAGATCAGTGTGGTACACAGTGGTACTGGTGACCGTCTTAGTACTTGCCGGGGACGCTCTGGGGACAATATGGAACCTTAATATGGCCGACCCGTATAGGGAATCTACACACACACACACACACACACACACACACACACACACACAAAGGAGACACACACCCAGACAGATCATAAATGAGGAAGAAATCTCAAGGACAGAAGTAAAGTAAAGTAAGTAAAGAACCCTTTCCACACTTTCAAGCGTATTTGGCATATAGGAATAGACCTATATTTTATAGACCAATCAGCAGTTGGTGGGTGATATGGTCAGCATCACGCCGACCGCCTTGTCTTCCTAGGTCTAAACCTGGTAACCACTCAAGGCTGGGTCTACCTGGGAGCCGGTGTCATTTTGTTTAATGTTTAGCCCCGTTCGGACCAGAACCCAAGACCTTCTGATCCGCAGGCGAGCATCTAGCCGCTACACTCTACGACAGAAGACAAGACATAACACCCCTGAAGGAAAAACATCACATGAGATATCAGAAGTAAGGCCACAGTTACACACAACAAAACTGCACCCAGGAGTCAAGAAAATAAACACGAAAAGCGGAACCCTCATCCGGACCACAGGACCACACTGCAGGACCCAGACATGGTCAGAGTGACAAACATCACACAACTAGGAACATTAAGCCCCATCTCTTGGCTCAACAAACCATCCAAGCCATTGAACTTGGCGCATATAAAACCAAAACACATATAATGTTGACGCTGTTTTCAGCACATTTTTACGTGGTCAGCTTTGGTTACAACCAAACCAACAACAATGTCTGATTATTTTTCTTTTGGTGTAATCTCATCCCACACTGGACTACAGGTCGGTTCGTAACCGGAAGGGTGCCCTAATTTAACTGTGTTATACAGCTCAAAGACAGTTAGAGAACTACTACAGACATGGAGGAAAGTTGGAGAACTACTACAGACATGGAGGAAAGTTGGAGAACTACTACAGACATGGAGGAAAGTTGGAGAACTACTACAGACATAGAGGAAAGTTGGAGAACTACTACAGACATGGAGGAAAGTTGGAGAACTACTACAGACATGGAGGAAAGTTGGAGAACTACTACAGACATGGAGGAAAGTTGGAGAACTACTACAGACATGGAGCGAAAGCTGGAGAACTACTACAGACATGGAGGAAAGTTGGAGAACTACTACAGACATGGAGCGAAAGCTGGAGAACTACTACAGACATAGAGGAAAGTTGGAGAACTACTACAGACATGGAGGAAAGCTGGAGAACTACTACAGACATGGAGCGAAAGCTGGAGAACTACTACAGACATGGAGGAAAGCTGGAGAACTACTACAGACATGGAGCGAAAGCTGGAGAACAACTATAGACATGGAGCGAAAGCTGGAGAACTACTACAGACATGGAGGAAAGCTGGAGAACTACTACAGACATAGAGGAAAGTTAGAGAACTACTACAGACATGGAGGAAAGCTGGAGAACTACTACAGACATGGAGCGAAAGCTGGAGAACAACTATAGACATGGAGCGAAAGCTGGAGAACTACTACAGACATGGAGCGAAAGCTGGAGAACTACTACAGACATAGAGGAAAGTTGGAGAACTACTACAGACATGGAGGAAAGCTGGAGAACTACTACAGACATGGAGCGAAAGCTGGAGAACTACTACAGACATGGAGGAAAGCTGGAGAACAACTATAGACATGGAGCGAAAGTTAAATGCATTCGAGGAAAATGATAGACATAAAATAGGGTCAAATGTGATGAATTCAAGAAGTGTAAAAAAAAAGGAGAGACATCTAGCAACAGTTATATGACAGAGACTGGACATATTCTGAGAAGAGACGAACAGAGAATACCAAACAGGCAATGAAATGGGAAGTGTATGGACTGATGAAACCAGTACATCAAAGAGAAACCCTATGGCGAACGTTGATGAGAGAGGCCAGGGATGCTGAACTGTATTCCATCCATGATATCGAAGTGACTGCACAAGATAAAAAGGAATTTAGAAATATACTTATAAAGAAATCACTTTCCTCCTATTAAGAAGATATTTCTATAAAGAAGTGTCTCCTTTATTTTCCTGGGTCTCTTGACCTCAGGTTTATTCCAGTCTCAATATGAAAATCTAACTTAGCTCTCCAGTCAAGAATCCGTTGCTCTCACGTTTGGGCGCACAGCCACGCCACACTGACGCTGTTCTACCAGTTCAGTTAATCAGGCATTATTAAACGCCTCAGGGCAAACAGCAGCACTTTCATTCCGATCTAGTTCCATAGGACTGGCATCCACAACCCACTCGCCAAGAAAGCAGGACTACACCAGCCTGATCAAGCAGACAAGACGCAGCTGCAAACCACCAAACTTAGGCGAAAATGATCGCCACAAAAAAATCAACAAAAATCAAACAGCAAAGAAACTGTCCTCAATAAAGCAGGCAGCTGAAAGAGGACCAAATTTGAAATTTTTGTTTTATTTATCCAGTTTCTAACCCATGCTTCTCACACTAGGGACTTCCCCAATTCTGTCACTCAGTCATACCATGCACATTATCCCTATTTATAGCATCATTACAATACTGCTAGTCCTATACGACACATTACAACACACAAGGACAAAGACCGAATGAATGAATGACTTAATTAATTAATACAGTTGAATGAGGTTTCTAGGATTTACTATTTGGGGGAACGTGACCACCTCTCAACAAGCCCATCCATTGTCATAACCACAAATCATAACACGTATCAACGGAAAATACAAGAAATTAGGGAGAGAACAAACTAACAGCAACCATCCACAAGACCCATCAGCAGACAACAGAAAGTAACATGCAAACAATTTTCCGCCTACGAATAGGACACTGCAGGCTCACCTACCACATGATAAAATAAAGATTTTACAGCACCCACAGTGTGCCTGTCAAACAGGACCACAAACACCTGAGCACATTCTGCAGACCTGCTCTCTCTACATAGGTTAGTTGCGTATCCTTTACAGGACGTAGCAGAACCAAACCCAACAGCCACTGGCTGTTGTGTGGTTTCTCTAGGCAAATTTACGTCCAGTTGTTTCCCATTGCTTTCTTTAAGTCGGCCCCCTGATACCACTGTCTAAACCAACGCAAGGCGCGTGGCCTGCAGCAGGGATCGAATAAATGAATAAATGATTGAACGAATGAATATAGTTGACTGAGGTTTCTAGGGTTTACTAATTGCGAAAGAACTGCAATGACCACCTCTTTCGATTGTTTCTGATTTCCCTATAAACCTCTTCACGAATGGGATCCGAGCCCGTTTCGGGGGAGGGGGGGGGGGAGAACCATCAACTATCTCTCAATATGCGTGTCGTAAATGACGACTAGGTGTGGGTTTGCTGAAATTGGATCTATGACCCAAAGGCGCATATATCGCTGCCCAGCTGCAAGTCGCTACACAGTACCAACGACCCTTTTTAAGGCAAAAGATGTCGTAAGGTCAAAAAAGTAGTAGTGCCAAACCATAAGCGAGTACTTATCTCGCTGGAACCCCGGTTAGCTAACTCAATTGGTTAAACCTGACTACGCAGCGAACGAGAGTAGGCAGGAAAACCTAATTTCTCGCAGAGTTACGGTATCTATCATGGAATTAGGGCCGAAGGGTTGCGATACTATCCATAGTACAAAAAAAGGCCTAAGAAGTTCTTCGTGAAAGTGAAAGGTGTCTGAAATTGTGTATCAACAGATAAAAGCTCTTGCAAAGACGAAGACGAGGAGAAGTGCAGAGAAATGATCACCTCACCCGAGATGTGTGTCAAGGACACTATCTACGCCCCACACTGTCCCAAAACGTGTGGTCAATGCGGTAAGTTGGTGTTAAAGCATTCAAAGGTGGTTTCAGATGTTAAAACGGATGGAAAGTATTTACAAGGTAACTATTTAAAATTTGCCTAATACGTGTAAAAAGACGGTAAGTACTTGGTGCAGAACTGCTAACTATTTGCCTAATGATTTCAAACAGGAGGAAAGTAGTTATGGAAAGTATTTACTATCCTTGCCGTTTCACAATCCTTTCTGTTCTGCATAGTATTTATTTATGGTGATCACACAAGTGCCAAGAGTTTCTTCTGGCCAAACAGATCATGGATTTCTCTAAGAGATATTTCAGTGAAGTCGTTGTGTGTGTTTTTGTTCGTATCTGTAGTATTATATATTCATGAAATGTGCTGATGAAGGCAATCTAACGGCAACTTTCACTTGTCGTTTGTGTTTGTAATAAAGTGAAGGTGATTGGTTCTACTTTCCGTTTGGTTTAATATCTTTTATTGCAAAGTATTTATTGTGCAAGCGATTCAAATTACATCACCCAACTTGTGCCATGCATGGAACCTGAGGTGCCGGCCCTCACTGCAGTGTCTGAAATAAGGTGCCGGTCCCCACCATAGCTATCTATGACAGGTGCCAGTTTTCACCACAACTATTTTTGACAGGTACAGGTCTTCTTCGTCTGCCTTTCTATCCCCCAATGGAGCATAGGCCCTCAATCAACTCACGCCAAGTCGTTCTATTATCCTTCGCCATTACATGGAGCTCTCCCTACGCCCCCCCCCCCCATCTTTCTAACTTTATTCTCCAGCTCTCTTCTCCATGTGGTTTTTGTCTTCCATTTTTCTTATGGCCCTGTGGGTTCCAATGCAAAGACATTCTAGTTTTGCTGTTCTCCAGTTTTCTCAATGTGTTTTCTATCCAACGCCAGCGTCTTTTCCTCACCTCTTGGTCCACTGGAACCTGTTTAGCTCTCTTCGGAAGCTCTACATTAGTTATTCTATAATACCATTTAATTCCTTCTATTTGTGCAGGCACCAGTTAATGAATGTCTGTGTTGCAGGTACTCACAACAAAGTGCCCATTATGTTATCGGTAGAAAAAAATTATGCCCAAATGGGTATCAGTACTGCGTACCGCCAGAACAAAGCCCTGACTAAACCTATGTAAGGTAGCTAGCTCCTTTCCTTATCGACTGTCTTTCGCAGACAATTCGTAGAAAATTGTAGAAAAACATGTTTATGATGCTCGGTCGATCTCACGGTGGTACTGGTAAGAACAATCCTTCTGTTTCCATGGCGCCCAGACGACTATCTCGGCAGGCAACAGGGTCAGCTACTTTGCCACTGTAGCCCACACCAAATGAATACTAGGGGCGGTTGGGGAGAGGAGTTGCGTATCGTCAACCCAGTGACCACGACCTCCTGGTGGGCAGTGGAAAAGTCCAGGCAATGAGCGTGGAAAAGTCTAGGTTGGTCTTGGAAAAGTCCTGGTGGGCCGTGGAAAAGTCCAGGTGGGCCCTGGAAAAGTCAAGGTGAGCCGTTGAAAAGTCCTGGTTGGTGATGAAAAAGTAGAGGTGGGTAGTGAAAAAGTCCTGGTGGACAGTGTAAAAGTCCTGGTAGGTAGTGGAAAAGTCCTGGTGGGCCGTGGAAAAGTCCTGGTTTGTGGTGAAAAAGTCGAGGTGGGCTGTGGAGAAGTCCTAGTGGGCCGTGGAAAAGCCCTTGTGGGGCATGGATAATTCCAGGTGGGCTGTGGAAAAGTCCTGGTTTGTGGTGAAAAAGTCGAGGTGGGCTGTGTAAAAGTCCTGGCGGGCAGTGGAAAAGTCCTGGTGGGCAGTGAAAAAGTCCTGGTGGACCGTGGAAAAGTCCTGGTGGGCAGTAGAAAAGTGCTGGTGGCCAGTGAAAAAGTCCTGATGGGCCGCCAGTTATACCTAATCATGTAACCAGGTGGGGTAGGTATGTTTTTTTCTCTTCCAGGATTGAAGTGTGAAGGATAACACCTCAAGTTTGAGAACAGAAACCGGCAAACCTCCCAGGAAACACCATTCGACAGTATAAAATAGTTATTGAAAGTCAAACAGGAAAATCGAATGAATGATACTGCAGCGCTTCGACTGTCTGAACATATAACAGATTGTTTAACATCTAAGCAGTTGAAATTTGTAACTTTATGGCATAAGATTTTACAAATAAACTGCTGTCGGTTCTTTATTATTAATTGTCTACTTACATTCAGTACAGTCCAATATGTTAGGGGTGTTAAGACCGAGTTTTCTGTGCCGCTGCTAACTTCGCGTGTTTCTTACAGCGTGTCTGTTTACATTGTTTGTGTGTTTGGCTAGCCGTCAGGTGGGCGACGAAACATTGTCCCCTATTCTGGGGGGCAGTGGATGTAAACAAGATTGGGGAGCTCTGTTTTAGAGAACGCTGCAAACAGATCCCAGAATCTGATAATGGTTTGTGCTCTCACTGGAAGTGCTTCTTCTTCTTCTTGTTCACCGGCTGTGAATTCCGGCGGTAAGTCGCGGTTGTTCGTCCAAATGGACTTTTGGCTTTTACCTTGACCTGAGTTTTGCGTGTACATCCGTTTTACTGTCTTATTTGTTTGCAGTCCTCGTTCCCTGCCTCACCGGCAGATGTACTCCGACTTCGAGGGAACTGGAAGTGCTAAATGGAGCATCAAATGCTAAAAGAGATTTCTATGGAAAGGATATATTACAAAAGAACGTCTGCACCAGTCTTTATCAACGAAGCACTAATTACAACGTAAACTGTGATTGAAAAACTTAACTGACAAGACAACAGAGAAAGCAAACACAAGATCAACATGAAATCAAACAATAACTAATAGGGTGATACAACTATGGACATGAAGACATGCATCATGAAACAAAATAAGGAAGAAGGTGTTTGGGGAAAAAACGGAGAGAAATTTAAATTAAATTAAATGTTACTTGACTAGAGAGTTTAAAGTTCGGTAGTTTGACATACGTTGCAACTGTAAGTCGGCTATAGATACCATTGGTTGAAATCACAGCAAGACAATTTGCTGTCAAATTATCTGCAACTGAATAGAAGGCCTATCTCGGATTTACAAATGACGTTCGTAACCCCAGCACCTCATATGCCTTTAATGCTTGAAATAGTCGAAGGTTTAAAATAAAATAAGTAAACGACTTTTCTATGCCCTTACGCGTATTTTGTTTATAGTGCTAGACATATTTTAGAGACCAATCGGTAGTCGGTTGGTGATGCAATCAACATCACACCGCCTGCCTTTACTTCCCAGGACTTTACCTGGTACTCATTTAAGGCTGGGTCGACCTAGCAGCCAAAGTCTTTCCGGAAAAAAATGTCCGGCTCTGTTCAGACTTAAACCTACGACTTTCGGATACGCAGACGAGAGTCTAGCGGCTACACTAAAAAAAGTAATAACTAGTTTTTAAGAAGTGTAACTGTTTCTTAGCCATGAACGCCGTCTCTGACATCAACCGGCGGCGTTGTTTGATCGAACCAACCTTGTACGGTGACTGGCGATTGATTGACAACTTTGGCACCGCAGACGTGACGATAGACAAAGACAAGGCGGTGTTCTCTCACCTAGGGACGTTCCAGTGTCTGGACAAAGACAACAAAGGGCGGAGATACAAGATGGCCTCTCTGTTTGATAACGGTTGGTAAGTAGTAAAAGTTCTACTTTGTGCGTGGAAGTTGTGGAACAATTAATTTATATTGTCTGTTAGTTCCCCCTAGTTAGTTAGTTGCTTAGTTTAGTTAGGTGAGTTAGTTAGTTAGTTAGTTAGTTAGTTACTTGGTTTAGTTAGTTAGTTAGTTAGTTAGTTAGTTAGTTAGTTAGTTAGTTAGTTAGTTAGTTAGTTAGTTAGTTAGTTAGTTAGTTAGTTAGTTAGTTAGTTAGTTAGTTAGTTAGTTAGTTAGTTAGTTAGTTAGTTAGTTAGTTTGTTGGTTGGTTGGGTAATACTTCCCACATGCGCTGTATGAAACATATTCTTGGTATAACATGACGAAACTGTGCCCACTAACGAATGTGTACCCAAAAGAAGAGCAATGCCAACAGTGTACTTTCTACTGAAACAAAAACGTCTGTGCTAGCTGGGACATGTTTCTCGTGTGGAGGACCGTAGTCTTCCCAAAAAAAACAAAATCTCCTGTAGGTGAACCGGTAACAACGAAAACACTGTGAGGAAAGGTCAATGCTGTTCTATAAGGACATATGCAAATGCGAGCTGACGGATACCAATACTGACACAAACACTTGGGATAGATCAGCCCAAGACCAGCTTCTATGGAGGCAATCAATGAAAGGCGGCAAATCGTTTCTCTCTTTCTGGTTCACCCTGAAGTTTCTTTAGCATCCGACCCTTCTCCAGGCACAAGGACGTGTCCCAGTCAGCGCGAGCTTGCAGAGATGCCTGCAGAGATACACATAAACACGCACCCCAACCAGCGCGATGTTGTCCACTTCACAAACCGAGTGGCGACTGGTCTATACACCCAGTACGACTAAGGGCGTAGAAAAGGATCATTAATTCTACACTCTCAGATTAAAAAAAAAAAATGTCGGTTCCACTAAACCAAAGTTCCCTAGAATTCTCAGCATCGCAGTCTATGTCAATATTTACAAATCACTGGTATTGTTTTTTTTCTTTTTTTTTCTTTTACGGATGAGAGAGTTGGACTTTCACTGTGGAAGTGAAAAGGAGGATTCGGGCTTTCGAATGTAGATGCTATAGATGCATTTTAGTTATTTAAAACACAAAACTAATAAATATGTCAGAGACAAAAAAATATATAAATTTGCGGGACATCAGGAGCCTCTCTTGGCAGTGGTGAAACGTCGCAAGCTAGCTTGGTCTGGGCACTTGGTGAGACATGATTCGATTGTAAAGATAGTACTTCAAAGAACATTGAGGGGGGGGGGGGGGGGGGGTAGTCGAATAAGAGGAGCGCAAACAGGAAATGGAATGACAACATCAAGAAATTGGAAGACTTGCATCATACTGAGGAAAATCTACCGCACAGCGAGGCCGGAACCCCTCCCCTCCCCCCCCCCCCCCCCCCCCCCCCCCCCGACCTTTTCACTTGATATTTTGATAGTGTGAACGTCAGCTTAAGTTTTCACTTCGTGAGAGAGGGAGAGAGAGAGAGAGAGCGAGCGAGCGAGAGAGACAGAAAGAGCGAGAGAGAGAGACAGAGAGGTTGATTAGAGATTGGAATGCGGGGAGAGTGATAAAGTAACAGTTCAACAAATATACGAGTCGGCTTTCAAATAAAATCCTTAAAGAAATTACAATAACTATGTCACTGCCTCGTAATCCTTATGTGTTGTTGTTAAGGATGGTAAGGGTGTTCAAAGTGACATCGCGGTACAGACAATCATGTTGCCGCTATAATGACAGTTTTCAAATGACCATCCATTTTTGACATGCCTCTGAGAAGACTAGCAATCTTTTTCCTTTTTTTTTTTTTTTTTTGTAATTAGTGAAGGGGTGACACTTGTAGCAATTCACCGTGTTCGTCTGCACGATGATGTCACGTGCTCAACACTCTTGACATCCTCAACATTTGCAGGTTACAAGACATTGCGGATCAGAAGGTCGTGAGTTGGATCCTGTCGGAGCCCGACTTTCATTTTTTTTCCTAGTGACCTTGGCTTCCAGCTCGACGCAACCTTGAGGGGGTCCCAAGTAAAGTCCTGGGAGGTAAAGGTAGCCGGTGTGATGCTGACCGTATCACCCACCAAGTGCCGATTGGTCTATAAAATATAAGCCTAGCCCTATATGCCCAGCACACCTAAAGGGGTGGAAAGGGTGCTTTATTTCACTTACACGACAGTTGCGGTGTCATTGTCATTTAAATCACAATTTTAAGGTTTTCATTTGAAGCCAGCCCCATCGTTGTTTCAGTTCTAAAAACACTTGTTCATTCTCAGCTCGCCGAGATACACGTGCATGGAGTTCAACAGAAGAAACAACAACGTCCTGCAATACAAACTGAGTAAGTGTTTTCTTGATCTTCATTTGTCATGGACAGGGAGGGTGGCATATTATGTGTAGTTTACAGCAAGACTGCGATGTCTGCGCTTTTCGGGACAAAATATCCGATTACAGCAATCCCCTAATTAGTCACCTTTTACGACATGCTTGTCAGGGGCAAACAGTAAAACAAATTACTACGTGTATTTACAAACTGTATGGTGTTGGCAGGGAGATCTTTGAGCCTAAGGATTTAGGGCCGATTGGCTAGTGCTGTCGCCACTAACTGTGCACGTAAGATTTTTTTTTTCAAACAGAAAAAAAAAAACTAAAAACTTTCTGACCTTACCGAGGGTCAGTGTTTAGGAGCAGTGTGACTTTTCTTGTTTCCCCAAAAATCTTCTTCTTTGCGTTCACCAGCTGTAAACTCTTGTGGAAAGTTTTGGTTGTTCGTCCACTTCTGGACAGCAGTCCTGTTCCAGAACCTGAGTGTTGCGTGTGCATCCGTTTGACAGATCTGACACATTTGAGTGTAGACTGTTGGTTCCGTGCCTCTCAGGCAGATGCACTCCGACTTCGAAGGAAGCTCTCAATTAGTCGACTCTTACGACATGCTTTTGGGCAGGCAGTGGGTCTATTTTTGTGTTCCCTATAATAGGGCCCCGGAACCCACACGGGGGGATTGAGACTCAGGAACCGAAACCCGGAACTAAGCAAAGTGAACAATGATACTTATGCTGTTGATTATCACGTGAAAATATACCACCAGCTTCCTACTGTGCTCGTCATCTTCTCAGAACCTATCGCCACCAACTGTCTGACACAACCCTGGTTTCTGCCTGTGGATGGTGACAGGTATTTCTGCAACACAGTCTTCTCGGAGACTTCAGTTCCAAATTGATAAACAAAATGTCTACACCCCATTTAGTTCTCCAGTTGTCTCAATGTATTTTAACTCATTTCATCTCACATCATCAATGTTCAGATGGTCAGGACTCTTGTAGGATCGAGGATAGGGCATTTTCTGTGATTAATTGCAGATGGGTAACAGATGTGTAAAGTTGGAGAATTAATGGTAGAGTTCTGAAGTGCATCATCAATGGTGAATTACCGATCAGTAAAAGATGTCGGGATCGACACAAACTGCAAATTTAGGATGTGCCAGTGAGACATAAATCATACAGGTATTGAGGTAGATTCGTGGGGACAGAATGCCAGGGACAATGTTGGAAGAAGACTTGAAATCAGGAAGGGGATACAGATAAAGGAAAAGAGGAAATAATTACAGTTAAATAGGTGAACATCTGAGAAGAAACACGTACAACACATGCGATGGCATTAACGATTTTGAAATCTCATGCTCTAATTGTGGAAGACAATCAACACGATCGGATCTTGCTAATCACACTCGCCATAGCCAGGCGCTATGATTGTAATGCCTCGCATATTCCAGTAGAAAACTACTATCTAGCTGACTTGTTTAATCCATTTAGGGTAGTAATCTATTCATTGATTATATATTATTGATTTAAGAAGCGACATCATAGCACACCGGACATCTCGCAGATGCTCCGTCTCCCGCAGCAAATGTCTTTAGGTGTAGATGCTAACTGTTCTCGTAGCATACTGATTATACACATGTTGTTCTTTTCCTCTCTTACGTTCCTTTTGTCTGATCCACATCTAATTTTTCGTGACTTTTGTCAGCATTCTTTCATAAATGGTCTTTTGAATGTCTCTTTGTAGAGCTAGTGCTCCTGTAGCTATCGCCTGTCTATTTTTTTTTCAATTAGCTGGCACTCCCACATATCCCTGACAGTATATCCACATTAATCTCTGTAATGTTAACGACCGGATGCTTGGTATGTATGCTTGTTGAAGGAGTCTTCAATTTTGTTTTCTACCCTTCAGTGGTTTTCTCTGTACTGTCCACGGAAATTGCCTTTTCCTTACTATTATGGTTGCCAGCTGCATGTCCCCTCTCACCCCCCGCTCCCGCCACCCGTGTTTTTCCCCCCAGCTACAAGACCATACCTTTCACCTTGCCTGAAGATCTTATGTCGTGACATAAGAAAACCTCAATCTAGATGGCAGACCGAAAGGGTAATTTACAGATTGTTCACCGTCAGTGAAAATGAATCAATTCATCAAGAACTGACATCCCTGAACTTGAGATATTCCCATACGTGCTCCGTCACTTTTCTCAGCAGCCAACGAAGCGTCGACATGCTAATAGAACCAGTTACGACCTAATTAAAAGTCCATCTAGGTGTTCCCCTCAGTGTTCAACATCTTCCAGACCCCCCCCCCCCCCACCCTCCCCCTTTTTTCCACTTTGTCCCTGTTGTATTAGTCTTTCAGTTTTTATATTCTTTGTCCTACTGCACTTTTTGTTCAGCCTCAAAAAAGCTATGACTTGAATGCTCGAAACTGCTTTACTGTATAATTCCCAACAATATACGGGTTTAGGGTAGCTATTTTATCTGTAATAATTGTTGCCTTTGTCATATCTGGTAAATATTTATGGTCTAGTTCTTATATCGATACAATAGACTAAATGTTATGTTTATTATTTTAAACAATGCATTCTCTTCTCTTTAGTAACCATGAAATGAGTTATCTGTGAGGAGCTGTGGGAGTGACCAGAAGATATAAAATCGAGAATGGGGTCATAAGAGAACATGTCGGCAGACAATGCTAAATTATATAAAAAGACAGCAAATCAAAGAGAGGAAAGTGACTTGCAACGACCATAACATACAAGGCATACAGCAAAAGAGGAAAAGGACGAAGAGCAGCAGGTAGATCTGAAATAACATGGAAAGATAACAAAAGAGAAACTCTACAACAGAACGATGGGTCTATGGTTGAGGAGTCCAGAAAAGCAAGAAGCAGAAACCTTATTTCTCCCTCGACAAACGAATGGGTAAAAGAGAAAGAGAAGAAGAAGTTCCATTCTCTTTTTGTTGGTAGATATTTTTTTTTTTTAAAGCCTTCGCATCTTAACAAATGGTTTGCTAATTACTTACTTACTTAGTCATTCCGCGTCTGCCTTTGAAAAGATATAAAACCGAACAAAAAGTATATCAACAAGCTTCACAGTATAACAAACACAAACAAAACGTGAACACTGAGGCTATAGAGCCTTCGTCAGCACATAAATAAATCAAACAATATCACACAAATACGACACTTAGTTTCTCGAAGCAGCCAGATCGATGGGTGTTGAGCTTGTTGCCAAGAGAGATAGCCAGATTTCTCTATCAGCAGATTTCTCTTTAGCTTTGTTCCATTAGAGTCCTCTGTGGGTCAGGCACTGTCGGATGTTGTCGTCCCATGGAACCCCGGGTCGTCCTGTGGTTTGCTAATCGTTGGTTTGTTTCTCACACTAGGTCGCAGCAGACGAGCGGAGACAACCATGGATGAACTGTGTACCTTTCAGGACGATTTGCCGCCCTTATTGACCTCATATCGCAGTGCCCACTTCAAGAACTTGATTTGTGAGTGACTGTGTATGTAATTAACGCACTAATAACAACAATTTCTGCTGCTGCTGTTGCTCCTACTACTGCTACTACTACTACTACTACTACTACTACTACTACTACTACTACTACTACTACTACTACAACAACTACTACTACTACTACAACAACAACTACTACTACTACTACTACTACTACTACTACTACTACTACTACTACTACTACTACTACTACTACTACTGCTACTACTACTACTACTACTACTACTACTACTAAAAAGTAAAGTAAATGACCCTTTTAACGCCTACACGCGTATTGGGCATATAGGGCTAGACCTTTATTTTATGGACCAATCGGCAGTCCGTGGGCGATGCGGTCAGCATCACGATAGCCGTCTTTACTTCATAGGACTGTACCTGGTACGCATTAAAGGCTGGGTCGACCTGGGAGCCAGTCATTTTTGGAAGAAATAAAAAAGTCTAATGCAAGAACTAATACCACTACTATTATAACTAATATAGCAGCAACTACTGCTGCTGCTGTTGCGTTTATGTTTCGTCTCTTTTTTACCCATGACGCCCTATGTTTCCTTACCTTTCACTAATTTACACTTATGTTTCATCCCCTTTCTGTTAGTTAAAACCTTTGTTTTGTCTCATTTTTATCAGTTATTACCTTTATATTTCGTCCCATTTATGTTAGTTATTACCTTTATGTTTCCTCTTCTTTCTGTCAGTTTTTACTTTTATTTTTTGACTCCTTTCTGTCACTTTTTACATGTATGTTTTGTCTCCTTTCTGTCAGTTTTTACCTTTATGTTTCGTCTCCGTTCTGTGACTTATTACCTGTTTGTTTCGTTTTCTTTATGTCAGTTATTACCTTTATATTTCGTCTCATTTTTTGCAAATATTACCTTTATATTTCGTCCTATTTATGTCAGTTATTACCTTTATATTTCGCCTCATTTCTGTCAATTATTACCTTTATATTTCGTCTTCTTTTTGTCAGTTAATACCTTTATTTTTCGTCTTCTTTGTGTCAGTTATTACCTTTATATTTCGCCTCATTTCTGTCAATTATTACCTTTATATTTCGTCTTCTTTTTGTCAGTTAATACCTTTATTTTTCGTCTTCTTTGTGTCAGTTATTACCTTTATATTTCGCCTCATTTCTGTCAATTATTACTTTTATATTTCCACTTCTTTCTATAAATTATTACCTTTATTTTGCGTCTCCTTTCAGTCAGTTTTTACCTGTGTGTTCCGTCTTCCGTCTGTTAATTATTACCCTTATGTTTCGTCTCCCCCCAAACCCCCCAACACTAGACCACTGTCTATTACGCCTCAGTATTATCACTTTTCTATCTGCCTTACATTTAAAAGGGTTTTCAAGGATTTGTTCATGTTTCATACTCAGCCTTGAGTCGCTAATCCTAAAGATTGCTCTCCCAGTGAAAAAGGGATTATAAAGGGATTTTAAAAGAAAAAACAAGGTAGCGTCTGCATTTTGTCCCATTCCTGCTAAATTGTGTTTTTGTAGTTGTATTTTATTTATTCCTCATCTTTATTTTTCATTGTGAGACGATTACTCTTGTCAGTGGTCTCTTTGCTGCACCTGTTACGCAATACCTTTAATTGTTGTCTTTTTATTCCCACGCAGTAATCAACCATTTGTGGCCATCCTACTGTGGCCTTCAGAGCGTCATCCCTTTCAACGGCACCATCCGGGGTCTCCAGTGCTCCGGTATCGTCTCAGACTGGAATGAGGACAAGTGTAACCTACTCGGCACCATATCTGTCAAGTCCACGTCTTGCCAGGAGCTGCATGTTCCCTCGGGTTGGTGGCCAGACTTGTACCATCTCACTGGTCGTTAGTCGAGCTCTCAGCATCACTAGAGACGTCGCCATCTAACTGCTCAGTTTTTGTGCCGGTGATTTTCAATTAAGAACCGACATCACAGCACTCGGGGAATTTCCATAAGCGCTCCATCCCCATCCCTAGCAGCAAATGTAGCGTTGCAATACCAGTGTGCCAGTAGCAGTCTGATTTTTACTGTGCAAGTGTAAATCATACAAAATGTCCTATACTGTCCCGTTTAAAAACTAGTGAAAAACTTGTCAGTCCCAGAAAAGTCTTGAAGCTTTCAGAGTAAAAAGGCATAAATCAGCTGTCAAATGTGCCAACACTGACGGTCCTAGAGCAAAACTGAAGATCATTTTTAGCGCAAATGATCCATCGCGAAAGCAGGCATTGTACTTGCAAACGTACACGCCATTGTGAATGTAATCAGGCACAACAGGGAAAAAATACAATGACAGACAGACGGACGACAGACAGACAGACAGACAGACAGACAGACAGACAGACAGACAGACAGACAGACAGACAGACAGACAGACAGACAGACAGACAGACAGACAGACAGACAGACAGACAGACAGACAGACAGACAGACAGACAGACAGACAGACAGACAGACAGACAGACAGACAGACAGACAGACAGACAGACAGACAGACAGACAGACAGACAGACAGACAGACAGACAGACAGACAGACAGACAGACAGACAGACAGACAGACAGACAGGTAGGTAGGTAGGTAGGTAGGTAGGTAGGTAGGTAGGTAGGTAGGTAGGTAGGTAGGTAGGTAGGTAGGTAGGTAGGTAGGTAGGTAGGTAGGTAGGGACAGACAGACAGACAGACAGACAGACAGACGGACGGACAGACGGACGGACGGATGGATGGATGGATGGATGGATGGATTAGACAGACAGACAGACAGACAGACAGACAGACAGACAGACAGACAGACAGACAGACAGACAGACAGACAGACAGACAGACAGACAGACAGACAGACAGACAGACAGACAGACAGACAGACAGATAACCTTTTTTTTAACCAATTACATGGCGATCTATGACTTTCTCAGAATACCAGTGCATTGCCTTCATCCAAGACGAGGCCGTTCCGCTTCAGCAACTACTCCTGACCAAAAGTCTCGACAACAGACATATTTATAACTGCTGGGTAAGTCTGTCTGTCTGTCTGTCTGTCTGTCTGTCTGTCTGTCTGTCTGTCTGTCTGTCTGTCTTTTTGGATCAATTCCACTGATGATATTCCTCCATGCCACTGTCTTAAGCCATCATTTCTCTTGGTCTGCCTCTGCATCTTCTAAATGCGATTTTTCCAGTCGTCACGATATTTTCCAGTGCTCCTTTTTTCGATCACATGACCAAAGAATTGTGTCTCCTTCACATTGTTGTATATAATGTTCTACTTTCATAAGCGATTTACTCGTTGCAGGTACTGACCAGCTACGCCGGCGGTGGCCAGATGCCCTGGCGCGTCCTGTATCAGCTGCCTACACCTCAGTGTTCACTGACCATGGAGGTGGACTCTTTCACGGCTCGTGATTATACTGCCGCGCTGTCGCTGGATGACAGTGAGTAGCGGTTGTTGTTTATGAGTGACTGACTGAGTGGTCTATCTCCTTCAGCATTCCGACAAGGTTAACAGGAGGGAAACAAGACAATAATGCTGATGATAATAAGGAGAGTGATGATTTTAAAAAAAAGTTGAGGATGAGATGATAGAGAAAGAAGAAGAAGGCGGAGGATAAAGAACCAAAAAAAAATGAAGAAGCGAAGGAGGATGAGGATAAAGAGGAGAAGGAGAAGAATGGGAGAAAAGTAGAAGGAGCACTTGTTACGAAGTCTGGCCCAAGCAGAGCTTTATTGTGCTTTCATTAATGCTTTCTCACCTGTGACATGGGCTTGTCTATGTTAGAGGGGTGTCACTTCGTCTTGTGTTCGCGAAGAGCTTTCTTTATTGTGCTTATATCGGCGGCGAGCTGCGGAATGTGTTTTACTTGTTGTTGCGAGAGGTCGGCGATATTACGTATAAATTGGAGTTAGATAGATAGGAATTTACGCGAGCGACAAGAAGGAAAGCGTTGCGTTTCTGCAACAAGACGGATTTTTAGGGTGCAGCGGAAGATGTTAACAATTCTGAAACCATGGGACGTACTCTGGATTCTAATAGAACCTAGGCTGAGTCTGTGGGGTAGAGGGGGGATGTTGGGGTTAGTGCCATTTCTGTATGTTCTGGGGTCGTTAAAAGTGGTGTCGTCGTGTAGCGTAGAACACGCGACATTGCCGCTGATAGCGTCGGAGACAAGACTACGTGGCACCCCTGTAACATAGACTAGCCCGTGTCACATGTGAGAAAACTTGAATGAAAGCCAAACTGCGCTCTATTTAGGCCAGACTTCATAATAAGAACAGGAGGAGATGACTCAAAATAAGCCAGGCATTACATTTGCAATAATTTGTTTCTGTAATAATGTCGACATCGTCTATTCCTTATCGTCTTCAGCACTCCAAACCCTCGAGATGTATTGATGCAAACATCACCCGCTCCCATTCATTTCTGTGATTGACATTCTCTTCCCGGTTGATTGCTCTAAATGTTGTACGTCTCACTGTATATATATCTCCACCGTCGTCTTGGTCTGAAGGATAACAGAGACACTATGGGACACAGACAAACACGAATGGACTATCTATTTTGTTAAGGACCCACAGCCATTAACATGGCCCATGTCCCACAATCATAGTCAAACATTTTGCGCATATAAACCAGACCACAAGTATAACCTGCTGGCAGCGAAGCGGGTTGAACGTGGTCGTGTTTTTCATTTTTATGTTTCTATCATGGACACGGACAAGGACTTCTTGGTGTGCATTCTATTAAAAAATGCAGTGCGTAATGCCATCAATGCATCCATATATTTTGTCCTATCATTTGGTCTCAATGGATACGAAGCAGCAGGGAGTCGAAATTTACCTCTCTCACCTGGATGACATTGACTGTGAGTAAATGGTAATATAGAAGGGGCCAAGTGGCATGTACTGCACCATTGCATGGGGACACGGTTATGGACAGAGCTATCAGCGACTTTACACGTACTTGACTGGAGGGGCACAATGACGAGTCTCATACTTTACACGTACTTGACTGGAGGGGCACAATGACGAGTCTCATATGCTAACCCGACTACGCCACCACGCAGTAAAGCATGGTGATGCTCGCCTATGTCGTCTTCGAAGTCAAGATAGGAGACCATATAACCAACAGTCAGTAGAGTTGCCTGAAGTAAATACTGCATCGGAGGCCTGAGCATGCATGATAATACCAAATGTGAAGTGAATTCGGTTGTGATAACATAACGTTAAATAACATGATAACATATGTTTTTTCACAAGTTAAACATATATTTTGTTCAAATGTTAAACTTATGTTTTTTTCAAATGTTATATATATTTTTTGTTCAAATGTTAAACATATATTTTGTCCAGTGATGCATGTCAGCTGTAAACCATATTTTATGTTTTCTTCAGGATCTCGCAGTAAAGTCTGCAAACCAGAAGACACCAGACAAAGACACGAACCCTCTCACCATTCAAAACCCAAGGCTTCAGATCTTCCTTACGCCGTGCCCAACCAGGACGAAGCAGCAGACTCTGAAACAGAAGTACACGTTGCTAGTCACCCACCTAAACCTCCGCCCTCGGCAGAACCCCCATTTATAGATGATGTCAACACGGATCCGCCCATGTGGGATGTATACGGCCGTGGGAATTCAATTATCCACAGAACACTATACAAATATGTGTTTTCTGTATGGTTATCATTGAAGATTTTCAGTGTTTCTTTATGGATAATTCCACACAGATGATCTTGTTATAAAAATATTATCATCACACTCATCAAGTTCCTTGTCGATAAGCGTAGGCTGTCATATTTTACCATCTCACATAATGATCAAGATCCCAGATCGGGTCAAATCTCTTCTCTCGGCTTATGTGTATGGCTAAACAATGCAGGTATTTGTCTCTTTGCGTTCCCCTTGCTCTCTTCCCATCAATCGTGACAGTTGTTGCCAAATTCTTGAATCCATCCTTCCCACAAAATGTCAGAAAAACACTAATTCCGCAGATCAAAGATACGGATACTGTATAGTCCAGCAAGCGATGAAATCTGAAATTAGGAAGAAGAGGAGGAGGAGAAATATTACAATAGAGAGACAAAAAATTATGATGACAACGATAACGGAGAAAAAGAAGAAGAAGATAAAGAAGAAGTAAAGAAACAACGTATTACATAACTAATAACTAACATAAGTATTTTTTTAATACGACCGGTGTAACGTATAATGATAAATCTTTCTGCTGTATTTATGTAGCATTTGTAGAATTGTGCACCCGTAGTGAAGTGTGTTAAGTACGCTTGCTTTCTCAAACATGAGTTCTGGGTTCGGTTCTCAAATACTTGGGATACTCTCCAGCAAGTAACGGTCCAGAGTTGAACCAGAGTTGAAAAATGGCTACCAGAAGAAATTGTCTGAAGTATGTATGTTGCCGATCAATGATGGGTGCATTTTGTGTAATCAAACATCTGTGTGATCTATTTCGTGTTTTCTATGAATGATACATTTCATACATACATTTGTAATTACCAGACTTTGTTATTTTTGCTTGTGCTTTCCCTGACTGTGAGCTCTGGATGAAAGTCGTGATTGTTCCTCCATATCTTGTATCAAGACTTGAGTGTTGCGTACACATTCGTTTAAATAGTTTAATTGTGTGCAGACTGTGGGTTCCTTCCCTCTTAGGTAGACGTATTCCTACTTTATATGTCAGTCCAATTTACACTGGCCAGGCTCACGGAAACCTCTTTCCAGGATGACCACGGGGAGGTGTAATGAGGTCTTCAACGCTTGGAGCCTTAGTCCAGCTGCACAGCCGCGTGTGGTGATCCAGCGCTGGATCCCAGCTGTCTTATATATAAATGTTACTGCAATGCACCACCCTGGGTTGTCATAGCTGATCATGATTCGCAAATCTAGTATACTTCTGCATCTTTCGTCGGAATGGAGTACTTTACCTTGTGCATGTTTACAGCATAGATGCGATATTTGCGCCTTTCGGCCAACACACCGACTTTACTGGACACTTGTTCATTGAATTACCCGCCATCCAAAAAATAAGTTACCATGGATGCAGAACCGAGATATGATGCTCTTCTGGTCGTGGGCATCGTCACATGACTGTCTATCCTCACATCCGCTGAACTCCCCACCCTACACGGTCCACGCTCTACAGAGATCAACAGAAAGCAGCACTCAGATCCGAGCCTTCGACAGACACACAGATCTTCCTTTGTAAGTTAAACACTTTTAAAGTAAGATACTTAGCACGACAGTATATGGACTGCACTGTAACCTGGCATGGATTTTCCTGATGGTCCGAAACTCTGACGTTTGGAGCCAATGTTGGCGGAACTTTTTTGTCAAACCGTGGGAGAACTGACGATCGGACATCGTCAACCTTGTTGGTCGCACTTTGTCAACTTTGTCTTAAACTTTTCTGTTACGATGACCGGAAACCAGACAATCGGACATTTAAAGCACCAATTCATTACGACTTTTATCAAGAGACGTTTCAACCAAAGTTTTTCATTTTTATAGTACTCGTAGATATGTCGGCTCTGTGGCCAGAACGCTTCGTAATGTCGGGGTGCCGGGTTTGATCCCAGCTGCGGGCCATGCGCCTTGCGTTGGTTTCGACAGTGGTATCAAGAAAGCCGACCGTCCAGGGCAATGGCAAACTACTGGACCTAAATTTGCCTAGAAAAAGCACACAACAGCCAGGGGCTGTTATGGTTGGTTCTGTAACGTCCTGCAAAGGATACACAACTAACCTAACTCGTAGATATTCGGTCAGATACCAATATAATATACACGGCAGTGATACAACAACATCAACAACAACAAAAACAACAAAAGAAATATTCGGACTTGAATTCTCATTGTTGTGTCACTTGCTCCTGCCTTCGGTGGAAACGTGTGATTGTTTCTTTGCGTTTTTAGGGCGACTAAGGGCCTACGCTTAGGCACTGCACACGCGCGCTTCGTAGTAGCGAGGTACCGGGTTTCATCCCAGCTGCGGGTAATTCGGTAGCAGACCGCCTTGTGTTGGTTTTGACAGTGGTACCGAGAGCTAATCGTTCAGAAAGCAAAGGCAAACTACTCAACGCAAAAATGTGCTTAGAAAAACTACAATAGCCAAACAATGCTGGGGTTGGTTCTGCAACGTCCTGTAAAAGATAAGCAACTAAGTTTAAGAACTTTAGCCTTTTTTTTCCGTATGTGCAATACACATTAATGTGCTGATAAAAACGGTCCAAAAATATATTTGAAATAATATGACATTACAAACAAATACTGTCTGTCAGGTTTTGGTCAGATATAACTGCACTACCGTATAACAGTAACCGATACTACCTGTCTTCTGTTAAACGTCGAATGTTGGGTGATGTATACCAAAACTGACATCCCTTATTGTGTCCAAGGCTTCAGACAGAAGAGCGTATTGGGGAAGGATACTAGCTTTATCCTAGGAAGAGGAAATGCAATCTGTGTGTTGTGGTTTATAGCTAGGATGCAATACATGATTTCAGCAAATGCCTTAATTATTTCACTTTTAGGACATGCTTGTTGAAGGACAGAGTGTCTATCTCTCCCCCCCCCCCCCCCCCCCCCCCCCCCCCCCCACCCAAATAGGGGTCCTGGAACATACATGGAGAGCTAAAATTTTAAAGCAAACATTTTGAGAACAAGTATCTATCCTATAGCAACATATGTGTGTCAATCATTGAACATTGCTGATCCTGTTATTATGATGGCGAATGAGAATAAAACAAAGATAGATCCTGTATTCGCTAATGAAAGACATAATGTAACACTCAAATTACAACCAAATATATTACAATCTGATAAGGTAAATTCTTTTTTTATTTAAATGAAACTCAAAATAAGATTTAAAAAATATGTGACACTCAAAATAACGCTAAATATAATGTCCCACTCAAAAAAACACTTCAAATAATGAGACATTCAAAATAACACTACAAATAATGCGACACTCAAAACAACATGTAAGTAAAGTGCCAATGCTAACACACTAAAACAGTAACAAACAAGAAAACAGCAGCATACAATAATATGACTAAGATATAGGACTAATACTATACTTGTGGGGAAAAAAATTTTTATTCCTGCTTTCTGCTTTCATAATAATAATTATGTGCTATGCAGACAAGCACATTTTGTCATGTTTTACCACCTCATAAGATCACCAGACTCGCGGATCAGGTCAATGGTCTCATCTTGCCCAACCCATATGGCTAAACCATCCAGGTAGTTATCTCTTTGCTCCAGCTCTATTTTCCACCAATCTTGCCAGTAATTACCAAGTTTGAGATGTGAAATCATGACTTTTCTTGGCATCTTGAAGTAAGTAATTTTTCACTGCTTTCCTTCTTGACAGTGACCATACTGGTCAGAGACTGGTCACTGTCACTGTGTGATCCTCTAGCTTTTGTCAACAGAACATGAGATCATGTCAAGTGCCCGCAAGCTATTGTCATGGACCCTTACTTATACTCATTATCATCATCAATTTCTACTTCTACCATTGAGCGTTGTTGGGAGGAACAGTTTGCAATCCATTGCTTGATGGGCAGCACTGCCTATCATCATTCCGTGTCGATGTAGAACAGCTCTTTACTGTCATGAATAGTCTTCTCCTAGGGCGTCCTCTTGCTTTCATTTTAGATTTTTTTATGTGTAGCTTACTAAAATGATGAGTGCAAAATCATAACAATAACGACAAAGACAAGATGTTTTTAAATAGTTGTTGAGTTACAAAAAGAAACAACATTAAAAATAAGACATTTGAAGCAAACTAATACTGAAGCCACTCAGTTTATTAACAATGTGACCCAAGAAGACAAAATCTAGTCACTTCCGGTTGTGACACACCTACCTAAGTGCCAGCAGATCACCATGTCTTCAGTGACGTATTCTCTAAAAGCGCAGTTAAATTCTGTTTGTTCTATGTGTGCCTGTACCAGGTGCAGTTTTGGGAAGTAGATGATGCCGGCGTGATGTTGAACACATCACCCATCTTGTGCCGATTGGTCTATAAAATACAGGTCTAGCCCTATATGCCCTTTGCGCCTAATGGCGTGGAAAAGGGTCCTTTACTTTACTTACTATGCGTGCCTGCATATTATTTAATAGGCCAGGATATTAATAAGGCAACTAAAAATAGCACTGGGGAGGGGGTGTTCCTTATGACCCCACAGATATTTTAAAGACAATTTAATGTAAAAATGTTCCCGTAAGTCTCAGTGATAAAGGTCACAGTATGAGTCACCTGATTCACAGTTTGTTTGGTTGTTTTTTTCTTCCTGGAAGTAATTTCTATTTAATGCTTCACTCTATTCATGTTTACTGATGACCCTTTTTTATATCTATATAGATATATATATATAAATTTTTTTTTAAATTAAAACAAATATAACTGTCGATAAATACTTTATTTATTTATTTTTTATTATTTAATAATGACGTGTGTAATATGGTTGTTTTTAATTATTTTTCCCCCATAATTCTAATAGGTTCATGACCCATTTTTGTTAGCATTTGCTAGACAAAAGTGTTAAAAAGCCACAGATAAGATGATCTGGCCATCTGGCAAGAGTTGAGTTGAGTCAAGAATTGACATTACAGCACTCGGGACATTCCCATATGCACTCTGTCCCCATCCTCAGCAGCCAGCCCAGAGCTCCAATACTAATGGTGCCAGTTGTAGTCTGGTTGTATGTTCGTCTTGCCTTTCCTCTTAGCGTAGTGTGCCGGCCGAACCCTCTGGTCACACCCAGTGGCATCATTCTCTCCAGCCCATAATAATCTAGTTTCTCTTTTGACTTTGTTACTTGTTCCCAAATCTGCCTTGTCATGTAAAGATTCACCACCCAGCAGTGCAGATCTAGCCAGTCTGTCTGCCTGTTCATTCCCCACCACGCCGGCATGGCCTGGAGAAAAGATCCAAAGTATGATCACTACCCGTGACCTTGCAAGTGAAGCTTGCCACTCTGCTCGAAGCAATCCTGTCTTCACTTTTTTCAGCATGCTTTCAGAGTGTATGTATCTTGGGGCTGGCTGATATAAGACGCAAGGGAACTGAAAATAAAAAAGTACACAGAGACTATTTTTTAACATAGGAGGAACAAGATCGAAGAATGGAGTGGGTTTCCAGGTGCATCCAGACATAGCTAACTACATATTAAACAATCAGTTATCACTCAGACAGAATTATAAAGTTGACAATAAACCGAGAAATATGCACCGTTCGATGATAACTCTACAGAAGAGCAGAAAGATGATTTCTTTGATGAATTGTCTGAAGAGACAGAGAAAGTTAAAGTTAACAACGTACTGTATGTAATGGGAGACTTCAACGGGAGAGTGGATAATAATAGGAGAGAATACGCAGTTTCTGGGCCCACATGCAGCTACAAACAGTGATAGAAATTGAAATGGTCAAGGAGTATTGGAACTATGCAACCAGCACAGTCTCTTTATCACAAATACATTTTGCAACCATAGAGATTCACAATGGTATACATGGTACAGATGGAATGACACCTCCATTAAGAGCCAAATTGATTTTTTATTAACAAGAGTCAACGGGAAGAAGGAAAGTTCTTGATGCAAGAGCAATCCCTAATGGTCTGTGCAACACTGACCATAAAATAGTAGTGTTGACAGCAAAATACCTTGTCTTCAAGAAACAAAAAGAAATTAACTAAAAACCATGATTTCATCAGGATAGAAAATTTGAAACAAGAAGGAGTAAACGAACAGTTACAAAAGAAAGTAGAGACAACATTCAAACAACTTGATGAATGGAATGTATATAAAAACCACCTTGCTAAGTATTGCCGAAGAATTATGTGGAAACAGAAAGAGAGGAAGCAGACAGAAGCATAACAAATATTCATCTTGGTGGTGTGAAGAAGTAAAAAGAAGCAGTTATGAAAAAAAGATATAAATAGCGAATAAAATCAAAGAGAGATTATGATTATCTAAGCTACAGACTGCATCAAAGAGACACCAACCAGAGGATCAAGAAAGCAAAACAAGAATCAAGGGAACTTTTTGGAGAGTCATTGGCAGAAAGTGAGAAAACAGCCAGCAGAACATATTTCAAAGTAGTAAAAACTATTTGAAAAAGAGATGAGAGCTACAACCCAACAGTAGTAATTAACAATAAAACAGGAAAACCATTAACAGACCCACCAGAGATAGCTGAAAGATGCAGGAAATACTTTAGTGAGCTCTTCAAACCCTTAGGAGATTGCCAGGAAAGAACCAAAGACTACAAAGCAACAGTGCTAGAACCTGACAAACAAATTACTGAAGTAGTTAAAGTCATTAAACAGTCACCCAAATATAAAGCATCAGGTGCTTATAGATTACCAACAGACATAATCCAGGCTGCAAGTGAAATCAAAAATAGATGGCTCCATAGAATATGCAATGCGGCATGGGTACAACAAACTGTTCCCATTGACTGGCAACATGCAATAGTTATACCATTGAGGAAGAACAAGGGAAGCAAGCCAGAATGCAATTAATATCTTCCTCGATATCCGAAGCAGTAAAAGAGGACGTAAAGAAGAAGTATGTATCTTGTTCTCTGGCCACCGGCAAGCTGCAGTGATCGCCTCCACCTCCATTCTCATGCTAGATGTCATGGTATCATATTTCAGACTGTCCTGCACTTAAGATTTTTCACTAGCTTTCGCTAGGAAACCCCAGGCACTTCTTTTCCCTCTCAACATAAAACCATCTGTGAAGATAATTAGATCAGGCATTGCCCTATTACCAACTGCCATAGAGAACCGCGCTGAAGAACTAAAACTGTCACAGAGCAATCAAAAGACTAAGCAGGAGATGGAATAATGGTATCAAGAATACCTTGAAGAAATGACAACCAACTTATACAAAACACTGGAAAGAGCAAATAAAAGATCCTAACATCTCCTCTGCTTGTTATAGCCCTAAATTGGGGATAAACCAGCTGGCGGCTAATGCATTAAAAAATTTGTTTTTAGCGTGGTTTGCTGGTGCAATTTTCTAATTTCTGGCCGGAAAGTCCAAAAGTTATGTTGCTCAGCTACTGAGTATAGTGCTTGGTGTGACACTGTGAGCTGTCAATTTTAAATGAAATGGGTTTTTTATGTTGTGGCCGCAACAGTTTTGTGCTGTTTACTGCATCAAAAATGGCAAGCAGAAGATAAAATTTGAAATGGCGTGTACAACTGCCATCTTTCATAAATGACTACTTGCATCAACAGTGAGCTGCAACTCTAGTGGAAGACTATTAGTACCGGTACATCTGACAGCTGCCTTATGCACGTACTTTGTAGGTACAAGTTTTAAGATTTTGCTGGGACTGATATCATTTTTTTTGTTTTTTTTCTCTAGTTTTCCAGACTGAATAGTAAAGGACATTGTGTGCGATTTGTCACCGGCACAGGAATGGAGTTGTTGTGGGGTGACCTATCTGTAATTAAGTTGGAACCTAAAGTAACTAATAAACACCCCCCCCCCCCTCCCAACATTTTAATTAGGTATAAAGGCTCTTCATCTTAATCCATCCATCATTTGTGCATTAGAGCATGACTGAAAACCCTCTCACCCCGCTAAAAACAAATGGTTATGACACCCCCTGGAATTCCATTGAAAAATCCTAAAATAAACAACAATTTTACTCAGATCACTAATAAATGTACAAACAAATTTATTTATCCATATTTTTAAATTTGTTTTTACATCTAAAGATACATGGAGGGAGTAATTTACAAACACGAACAGGGTAAATCAGTGAATGAAAGACATCTTTCAGGGTCTAGAAAACATGTAAATGGCGACTCGTGCTGTGACCTCTACCACTGAAGCTACAGGAAAATCTGATGTCAACTTAGCTTTAAAAAAAAAAAAGCTACTTGGCTCAAAGAAAAACCTTGTTAAATGCAATTTTTAGCTAGAGCTTTCGTTTAATGACCTCCTCCATGCTTGCATAGGCATGAAAACAGCCAATAGCATTAACTAGGCATCTCATAAATGAAGTCTGAAACGTGGCATCAAAGTGGAATTCGGTCCAACTGGAATTGTCAGTTTTGCAGCTTCCTGGGGTGAAAGGGTTAAAGGTCTATAATGTGCATTTTTTTTTTAATATCTTGAAATAAATCTAGTCTGGAACCTGTAGACCTTTTAGCAATGTTCGCTGAAGGTTTCACTCGGATCATATGTCTTCAACTCCTTAATCCATTCGTTTCCCATTTCAGTGACCCAAGTCCTACAACAAATAAAACTGATTCTATTCTATAAATCTACAAATTTCACATAATCCCTGAGTTTGTGTGGTACAGGAAGCTGGTCCAGCAAAGAAAGCTTATCACATCTGGCTATGTGCAAGCGTATAGCTACCCTTGCAGAGTTTAACAGACTCAGACACATAGCACCAGGTAACTTTCTCCTTTGAACATATTCATCTATTTCACGTAATAAACCAGAAACACAAGGATATGTGTTTCTCAGAAGCAGTAGCTCTTCTGTCTCATAAGGACTCACACCACAGTAATACACCAACATACGGACTATTTCGGCATAAGGAGACAGCAACTTCTTGTCGCCTTCTGCATCATCTGTCAACTGGTTCACATGCACAGAAAATGCATCCACCAACATCTCATTGGAAAATCTCAAATTCTGTAAACGTTTTTTCAACTCAAACTGATTCACTATTTCCAGAGCGATGTGCAGCCCGCTGCGGGATTTTGTTTGAGTAAACGGAGTAGTAAGGTTGTTTGATACTTTGGCCCCCGAGGATAAAAGCAGTTCTATAATGGCAACATGGCTGTACTGCACCTGTAAAAGTTTACTGTCGATTGTTCCATCGATGTTATGGAATGCCATATTGTTCCTTACTTTTATCAGACTGCACAGTAGTGGAGTAAAGCTCTGTCTGTCTTCTGCATTCAAATCCTCTGCGCTTAATCTCACCAATAAAAGAGAGACACACTCAACACTGCCATTCATAGAAGCCATGTGGAGTGGGGTGTGGCCGTTACCTCGGCTTGGGCAGGTCAACTGCCAGTCAAGGCAACATTTTAAAATCTGCCTCATGATATCAGCGTCTGCTAGCTCAGCGGCCAGCAGCAGCGGGGATTTCCCAAGGTAGTCTTTCACATTGACATCACAGTCTCTTGTTATTAATAGCTTGATTATGTTTAATGCCATGCCATTCTCGATGAGATGCCGATGGGATTTCAGCGATGTTAAAACTGTATGAATGAGTCGACCATGACTGGTGGGCAGGTTAGCACTGCAGCCGTTCTGTAAAAACAGCTCCAACATGTCAAAGTGGCCCAAAACACATGCTCTCTCCACAACACTAGAAAAAAGATTGAAGGATACAAATTATTAATTCCACAACATGTGATTAATATCTACATCAAATTTTTCAAAAGCTTGTATTCAAGACTGGATACACACACCAAATTTGTTTCCACAAGACTTGCTTCACTGCCTCTCGAGAGATGGACAATGTGTCATAATCGAAGGAGAGAGCACAACAGACTTCGCCAACAAATGTTCAAATTTTTGGTGTAGGAAACTTGGCAGAAGAAAATGCTAAGCATGTACTCCAACACTGTCAACTGTATTCTGCTTACAGAGAAGCAATCTGGCCTGTTCCAACCCCAAAGAAGATAAAGCTGTATGGTACATCGGGAGATTTGAACTGCAAGATAGCTTTTATCACGGCTATCGGTGTCCTGGTAAACATTTTCCGATAAAAGGGTCAAAGATGAAGAATAAGAACATCATCACATCTTCTTTTTTCTCTACCTTGAGTTACCTCAGGGAAGTATTTGGGTAAAATGTAAGATCGCCTTTATTCTCTTTCTAATGAATTGTGCAAGCTGCCTTTCATGTCCTTCTGCACTAAAGCAAACTGGCAGAGTCCAGTGTGTGTGTGGGATACAGTGCATGATGATAGTGAATGTAAATGTCTGTACTTAGTGACAGAGACATGATGTGTAGCTCAGTAACACGAACTGAGACTGGCAGAAGGCCATGACGGAAGAGGTGACAGCTAACGGGGCCACAAGGGTTCATGGACTGGCGACTGAACTGCATGGTCTGGTGACTGAACTGAAACAACTTACAAAACAGACCAGTTTTCAATTGGATGGGTTGTTCTGTGCCTTGACACTGAAACTGTTGTTAGTTTGTGACCGTTAGATCGTAGCGTGTTCAATTTAAGCATAGTGACCCATAGTTTGTGTAATAATGTGTTAAGCTGGGCAGAGGCATAATTTCAGTGTTGTACAGTGTTCGACTTAGATAGGGCTGTGCAGTAATTTATATTGGTAGCTTGCCAGGTCTTGAAATTATTCTACTTGCAGGGGTATTGTAGGTACTGGCGATTTGATCTGACCTCACACATCAGCCCACACTCTGCAGATGTGCCATGGTCCTAGTGTGGAGTCCATTAGCAGAGAAAAGAGCTTGTATCAGAAGCGGGTGGGTTCGGCCCAGGTATTATCTGTAGAACAGGAAGGTCCGAGAATAAGATGTGATTTTAAAGCCCTCACAGGCGCGTTAAGGATAGTGGGTGCCCACAGCTTCTGGGGCTAACTACCTATTGTTCTGTACATTAAAGATTGATGTGTGTGCTCTGTAATTGTTTGCCTTAGTGTGTCGTAGAGACAGAGTGTCTGTCAGCAGCCTACAAACAAGCTACATGCCTGCACAGCAGGAATAAGGTTCCTGACACAAACCAAGCATTAAAACGAATTCCTTATGATGCCATACCATACAAGGCAAACATTAACAGAGGAGAGGGATGTAGAACACGAGGCAGACCAAGAACAATATGGAAACATAACATCAGAGAATCTCTACAACAGCAGTATGTGTCTACAGTCAAGACAACCAGAAGAGCAAGAAGCAGAACATTATATCTTCATCGATACCAGAAGTGGTAAGAGAGGAAGTGAAGAAGAAGAACAATACTTGTAAGAATGTGTAGATCTGATTGTATACTGTCTCTCCGCCACCTTCTAATGTTTAAAGGTGTTGTTAGAAATGAACAGTTTATGAGGAACAGATTATGTCTCATTAGCACTGAAATAAAAATGTCAGTTAACGAGTACTGATAAAGATGCTGAGGATGAGATCTGAGTGCCTATGGTCTTGATTCACATGAAATGAGGATGACATGGTGATTAACATATTAACTCAAATAATAACAAACACAGCTGCATAGCCAAACAACAACAATTACGCAACCAAACTGTCACAATTACAGTACCAAACAATCACAATTATGCAACCAATTAAAATTATGCAACAAATAAATCACAACTATACAACCATGGATCCCAGTTACAGAACAAAGCAATCAAAATTATGCAGCCAAACAATCTTGAATTTGGCACCATCAGTATAAGAATTCTTTGTTGCTGCTGAGAAAAAGATACAGCATGTGTGGGAATGTCCCGATTCAGTGATGTGAATTCTTGATTGATTTATTCATTAATTATTTCACTAACCTCTATGCCACAGAGCCACCCAGATGAATTGTATCATGAAAAGATATAAAAGAAACCAACAGTAGAACCAATCAGCTTCAAAATATCCCAAACTCACATGACAAGTGAATGCTGTAGCTAGAAAATGTTCATCAGCACATAAACATAAATCTACAATACCACAATTATGAATAAGAACATATAAAATAACTCAGATGACGTATCTCCAATAGAAATCACATTCCTGTTTGGCCAGCAGAATAATCTTCTTCTTCTTCTTCTGTTCGTTGGTCCAACTGATGTAATTGTGTTGTGCCTGTTTACAGCAAAGCTGAGATATTTGCGCCTTTAGCCGACACATCCAAATTCATCAAGCATTTGTTGACCAGGTAGAATAATCTGATAAGTGTGTGACCCCTGGAAATAAATACTGGCCAGAAAAGACTATGAGTGAGAGGGGCCACAACTCAAAGATATTAGATAAAAATGTGTTGGATGTTAAGTCCCCTAGGTGAACTGGTACCCATGAGATAAGAATTAGAAAAGGCAAAGAATGCAGACGAACAACTACCACCCCACCTGTGGTTCTCCAGTTTCTGGTCCCGCAGGTACATGCTGAGGCCGGGCTGCAGATGGCAAGGGCAGGTGAAACACGTCATTGTGGGGTCCTCGATGGCCTCCCTCAGTCCCATTAGGTCATGAGATTCCACCAGATAGGGGAGCTTGCATTTACATGTTAGAGAGGCCATCCTTGTGTAAAAGCGGTATGTGGCCTTGCCTGTAAGAGCAAAGGAATGACTGAATCAATCAATCAAGGACTGACATCATTGCTCTTGGAAAATTCCACATGTGTTATGTCCTATTCCGTAGTAGCAAAGGAAGAGCTCCTCTACTGACGGTACAGATGCAACCTGATTAAACATCTGCCTGTTTTTTGCCTCTGCACATTAAAATTATCCAGTGTATATTCCCTACTAAATTAATAATGTGTTAACTCTCTCAGCTATCATGCATAACCTCTGTCGGTTATAATGTGTTTACTGCCCTAGGTATTATGCATTAGGGGCTGCATGGTCTCAAGGCATGGCATCTGCCTTGAGTGCTGGAGGTACTGGGTTCAAGCCCCGGTGAAGGCTGGGATTTTTTCACATGACTTCTAATAATTTCCCCTGGTCTTTGGGTAGTAAGATCGGACGCCCGTGTGTATTGTTGCACACGTATAAAAAATCCCTTGGCAGTAACTTGTTCAGCAATATTAACTGGTTCAGCAATCATGTGTTATCTTGTTCAGCAATATTAACTAGTTCAGCAATCATGTGTTAACTTGTTCAGCAATATTAACTATAGTTCAGCAATCATGTGTTAACTCATTCAACAATCATGTGTTCACTTTTTTAACCCCTGAAAACTCACTACATGTTCATTAACTACTTTACACATCATTATTTGGTCGTGTTATGAGAAGATATAAATGGAACAAGATGTGATCACTAGAAAGATTTGGGTAAAGAGAAATACAGTAAGACAACTTGAGAAGATATAAATGGAACAAGATGTGATCATTAGAAAGATTTGGGTAAAGAGAAATACAGTAAGACAACTTGAGAAGATTTAAATGGAACAAGATGTGATCATTAGAAAGATTTGGGTAAAGAGAAATACAGTAAGACAACTTGAGAAGATATAAATGGAACAAGATGTGATCACTAGAAAGATTTGGGTAAAGAGAAATACAGTAAGACAACCTGAGAAGATTCTTGACAGCCTTTAGCCAAGGCATGAACTGATACATGCTGTTGAAGATTGCAGGTTGTGGAGAAGCATGATCGCCAGTCGGCAAGACAGATGATGATAATGCTCGATACTGTGTTAGCCATCAAAAACCTTCTTTATAAAAACTTTTAATAAAGTCAATGAAGTTCAAAATAAGGGGTTGTCGGTTGCTGGTTTTAATTTTCAGCAAATTCTTTTAAAATAAGCATCAGAGTAATTATTTGATTTGCGCAACTTCTTACAGGTTAGAAACCAGCTTGTACTTCTCTCAGGATTGTGTCTACTACACCTTTAATTCTACTGGTGAATTATTTCATAAAAAGCCTTTGACATCGCTATTTAATCACAAGGACCGTCATTATCATCATGTAGCAGGTCCTTTGCAGAATGTCGCTTTCATCACGGTCTGTCTGAAAGAAAACTCAGTCTCTCGCCAGATCTCCGACGTTGTGCACTTTCCTACTTATGGTGTCACTTATATCCAGTGTTCTTCTTCATACTGGTCGGCCCCTACCCCTTTTTTCTGGTACTGTGCCGTCTGCTATTTTTGTTTCCAATCTACTATGGCGCTTGATATAGCCAAAATATTTCAGTTTCTGAGACAAGATGCTGCTTACTAGCCAATCTTCCTTGATCTTTAGATCTTCCAAGATGCCAGTATTTCTTTTCTTCTTGGTCCACGGTATTCTGATAATATTTTTATAGCACTTCAGCTCAAAAGCCCAGATTTTGTCCTTAATGACTGGGAGATCCACGACTCACACACATATGTTGCTACAGGGAAGATACATGCTCTCAAAATGTCATAAAACTGAATAACACCAGAGTCACAAACCATGAGTAGTTCAACTTTTTACCTATTTATTATTTTCATTTTTACTTACCAATTTCTTCTCTACCTGATTGGTAGTTCAGTCAGTGACTTCAACAGTTGATCTTTTACGGTCAGTTAAGTCAATAATTACTATCAATAATCTCTTCTATGTATATACCATTGATGAACTGAAATATTATTATAAAATGATTATATTTATATCAGGTCATTATGATCACGATAAGTGATCAATCAATAGATCTCAACATCTGAACAATTTGTTGTTCTCAAAAGTTATGACACATGATTTCAATAAATACTTGACGAACTATCAACATCTTATAGTTCGGAGACAGAGACATTATGAAAAAAAGTACTAATTTCTTCCTTCTTCTAACAAATATTTACTCCGTAACGTGTATTCTTCTGTCGTGAAAGAAGAAGTTAGAAACTTATTTCAGAAAACATCCATGACTGGGGTTCCATGTTGTGTTTCCCTTCTGCTGGATGTTTCTGTGAGCTCTTCTGCGTGAGAACATAAGAACAGCTGTCGTCCTTTCCCGCAGGCAACTTCTCATTCCTCTTCTCACCCTTATCCTCTAGTTGAGCAAATGCCCTCACTAATATACAGTGGTACAGCGGTATACGCTTGCCCGCGCTAAGTCTCATCTCTTTTGCTAAAACATGTAACTCATCCCATCACCTCCCGATTGTTTAACATCCTATTTCACGTGTCCATGAGTGTTTTGGTCTGCTCTTATTTATATGCCCGCGTTGCTTCAAATGGGAAGATACAATAGTCTACTGTGCTCTAATTTTCTCAACATTTGACCTATTCAAAGCTGTCGTCTTTTTCTTTCGATATCATCAGGACCACTTCTTCAATGAAGGGAGAATTTTCCTTTGTATGACCTGGGAGCAAAATCGTTTTGCCCGAATTTGAAATATATTATTTTTTTAAAGGTTTATTTTGTGCAAACATTATTTACAACATTGATCTGTATATATACAAAAATTCAAAATCAATAAAGAGATGAAATAAAAGGATGATTCGTACCTTTGTCCACCAACATTGAAAGAGAGTAGAGAAAGGGGGAGACAGAGAGGACCGGGGTGAGGAGAGCAGGGGCCATTCGTTTTGTTGGTGGTGTGGTACGTTATGATGTTAATGTTATACATACATTTATTTTATATTGTACATGGTAATGATGCATGTTTTCCATAAGACTCCCTGTCACCTAACATCTTTCGGTTGAGGGAAAGGAGGAGACAGAAAAGACATCTGGAAGATAGGAGGGGTGGGCCGCCATTCATTGATATTAGTGGCATGTGTTCGATGAGCTAACAAATGCAAATATATTGAGGATGGTGTATAACCTAACAATAATAGCTAAAACATGCGTTAATAACAATTTATTACATGTTTTACCAACAAACAAAATTGACAGAAATATGACTGGGGGGGGGGGGGGTGCAGAAAAAGAAATGTAAGGCTGGGCTGTAGACAATAGAGGGACACCACTCGTAATGTTTGTTGGTAGGACATCTCTGAGAGACGTTGTTTCCCTTGAAATACATAAAGACAATTTTTTTTTTTTTTTACATTTCGGGCGCTTAGCCCTAAAATTCCCATGGCGAAAATAAATGCGTAAATACATTTTATAACATTTTTTTTTTTTCAATGTTTATTTGTCTGTAAACAGTCTGTATACAAAATGTGTGTGTAAACTGTATTGTACGTGTTATATATACAGGCGTCTGCGGGGTACGTGTATATGTGCAGTATATATACAGAGCGTTGCTTTGTGTTAGTATTAAAGTTGCATGTGTGTGCGTGACTTTGCGAACATATAAACAACAGGAAAAGAGGAGAGACAAAAACATAGGAGGCGGACGAGGGGCGGGAAAGAAACATTTTGAAAAGGAAATAAAACATTAGGACCATATTGATGAAACAACTTCGATGGGGATGATGATATTGTTTTTTGGGGAAAAGGAATTCCCATTGTAAAAATACACCTAAGCATTGGGTAACATATGAAAAAATCATTGTGATTGTGGTGATGGCCCATCGGCGATGAGGATGATGATAGTGTTGCTTATGGGGGAAAATCCCATTGCATAATTATTTACACAAAGGCATTGTATAATATGTGAAAATTGTTAAAAGGAAAAACATGGTGATTGTGGTGATGGCACATCGGGTGATGAAGATGATGATGACACTGTTGCAGGGAAACTCTTGTTTTCCTGTCCGCATAAGAACAACAATTTTTTTTAAAAACAAGCATGATGAGTATGAAGATGGTAATGTATTTCTTATGGACAAATGCGTTTGGTATACGTCCTTTTTATATACTACTAGCTGTACCCGGCCACGCGTTGCTGTGGCATGGTTTGGCTAAATGTAAAAGAAAGAAAATAGAAATCACACGTGTCTAATATGGTTACTGTCGCAATCAATATCTGCTCAGATATAAAGAGAGTCTTCGATCCCCAACCCACCACCACCACCAAATCCACCTACTACTACTACTCTCTCTCTCTCTCTCTCTCTCTCTCTCTCTCTCTCTCTCTCTCTCTCTCTCTCTCTCTCTCTCTCCCTCTCATCAAAGGTTTTTGGAAAAGAAAGACAATAGAAATCGCACGTGTCTAATATAGTTAATGTCTACATAGATATAGAGATAGTCTGCTACTTTGAGTGGGTAAGGTAGTTACTGTGACCTAAAGCTCTCTCAGTAAACAGTTTGTGCCCCCCCCCCCCCCAATTCACCAACTACTCTTTCCCTCATCGAAGTAGTTGGGAAAAAAAACCAAGTGAAAGGCAATGAAACCTTAAAAATACACCATAATTAGGAAATGAACGCTATGGTTAACAGCACAGCTTAAAATTCCAACGCAGATGAAATAATTAAATCTAAATGAAAATACATGGAAATCTATGAAAATTCAGCGTAACCATGCAATCTAAAAGTTTGAAATGAAATCATAAGTATGCGAAATGGTCAGATTTAATTATTAACTGGTTTACCTCCATACCTGTACTTTTTTTTTTTTTTTTTTTTTTTTTTTTTTTTTTTTTTTTTTAGTATTAAGGCCACATGGCTAGTGCTGTCGCCATGACAGTGCAGGTGAGGATTTTTTTTTTTTTTTTTTGCCCCTGGGTAAAAAAAAAAAACTACTGCGGATTCGAACCCTGGTCTCTCGCACAGGAACGCAGTGTTCTAACCATTCGGCCAAGCAACCACTCCACCGGAGCAACGAAAAGAGAACAACACTGTTCGAGATGTGTGTCCCTACTACTGTGTCCCGATTGTAACACAACTCAAAACCGCAGGCAGTTGTCTTCTCATTGACAGATATTCCAGATATATTATTGAAACGGCACAACAATAGACATAGCACGTGTCTAACACGGTTAATGTCGTAATCATTGTCTGCGCAGACGTCGAGATAGTCCTTGATGCACCTCCCTGCTCCACTCACCCCCCCCCCCTCCCCCTTCCTCAAATCCAACGGCTACTCTCGAACTCATAGAAGGTTGTTTGAAAAGACAGAAAAAAGAAACGTGTATAATATGGTTATTATCGCAATCATTGCCTGCACAGATATAGAGAAAGTCTTGTTTGCTGTACCACTGCCTACTCTATTTATTAGAAAAGGCGTTGGCTGTACGTATCTCGAAGGCGAATGGTGGAAGTCTTGCGTTCCGACTACTGCGCACGCGCCTTTACAAACGTTGCTTTAATTAAATCTCACTAAAATGGAAATATTAGTTTCGAAGATTTTTCCAACAAATGTCGTCACCTATCTCAAACAATGACAGGTAGAATTTCAAACCATGATGGGTAAAAATCCGGTATCAAAACAAACATATCCTGAAAATGTCAGCTAAATCGGTTCAGTAGTTTCCGAGTCTATAGATCATAAACAAACACACAGACATTGACTTTTTTATATATATAATATAATATATATATATATATATATATATATATATATATATATATATATATATATATATATATATATATATATATATATAGAGAGAGAGATGTTCCGGTGCTTATGTTTTTACTGTGGATATCTTATATTTTCTTGTTTTATTGTGGAAACTGCCAGTGGCGCTGATAAAACAATGAAACGTAGAGGTGGGAAACAGGTCATAGGTTGGCCAATGTACAGCTAAGGCAGAGCCGACCAGTCTACCAGCTGTTTCATTGCCAACAACACGTGCATACCCTACGACAAAGTTGAAAGTAACTGCACGCACCGAGGAGTTTCACAATGGCTCACTCCACTGTCTGCGTACGAAGCCGGCCTCGACTTGTCGGATCATTCTCATAAAAATCACTCAGCACACGTATGTGGGAATAGTCCTGTGATGCGATTACTAGAATAAATGCGGGATGTAAACCCAAAATCGACCCCTGATACCAAGTGATAAATACTGTTCAGAAACTATTTGAGGACAGAAAATAGAGAGGATATAGACCTAGTTTTATCTGTGATAGATTTTATTACTTTTACCAATGGCCACGTCAATCCCCCCCCCCCCTCAAAAAAGGAAACCATCTTATGACACAAGTATAATAGTAACTGGAAGAAAACATACCCACGGCTCAAAAGATCTTAAGACGGACCGGAGGCAGAATATTGCAAACTTTGTCAGTGCACTTTTGCACCAAGAATTAGTAGCGTATCAAATCATGAAAAATCCGAAAAACACAGGATGAAAACTCAGTCAAAAAGCCATTCACAGCTTATTACAACAATGACTGGTAGCAGAGTTGCAACTTGCTGTAGGCGTGACCTGCCATAGTGCCATACACACAATTGATTATCTAAGTGAAATGACGAGAGTACATGTTCGGGGGAGTACACTGGAGCACATTCAGTTGCATATAACTAAATGTTCATGCCTAATAAAAAAAAAAAATATTATGTCGCCTGCACTTACACAAGGTGTCCACTTTCCACCACACATGTCTACGTAGAATTATCAAAATTTTCTGGCCAGATACAATCTCAAACACTAAACTACTTCAAGCCACAAACCAAGAAACTTTGGACAGTATGATTACCAAGAGAAGATGGAAATGGCTTGGCCACGTTATGAGAATGACTTCTGATATACTTGCCAAAACAGCTCTCACATGGACACCAGAGGAAAAGAGAAAACAGGGGCGCCCAAAAACAACATGGAGACGAACTATGGAAAGTGACCTGAGTGCGGCATCTTTGACATGGACAACTGCACTGAATATTGTACAGGACAGGAAAGCATGGAAAGTCCTCTCTGAAGCCTCATGTGCCACTAGGCATAACGCGAACTGGTGATGGTGATATCACCTGCACTTAAGGATGACCTTGTTGATGATTTGTCGGAACAAGAAATACACCATCATTATAGATGAGTTGCACAGACTTCATCCCATCTGAGAAAATGATTAAAGATTTTACATCCGAAAAGGTTTACGCTGTATCTTCCATAGGTTCCAGTGAGGATGACAGTGAAGAATTCAATCTAGAGCTTTTGATATGAAGTGAGTTAAATGTAACACTTTATTTGGCATTTTCTGGCATATTTTGGGTAAAGGTTTGGCATAAAATTAATTTTTTTTTTTTATCTGGCAACCCTGCTGAAATCATCAATAACAACCAAACCAAAGCTTCCGGTTCCGAACTGTTGTCAATATTGACGTTTGATATAATTTTATTAAAATGAAATACGAAGATTTCTTTCAATTTTCTAAACTGTGTTACTGATTGCTTTTTTTTTTATGGTTGCCGTGAAATTATAAAGGGATCTTATGATTATTTGGTAGTCATTTATGGCTAGAAAGCCGAGCAAGACGACGTCAATGGGCTCACCGAGGAGCCTAGAACAGCTGACAACATAAACAAGATGGCTACAGGCAGTGTCTCCAGCCTGGAAGCCAGTGGTAGCAGTAGTGGAAGCTCTAGGGACGAGAACATTGATCGGTTGTTCAAGAATTTCACTTTTAAGTGTTTGCAGGTGATAGTTCAGTCTAGGATTGAGAATCAGACACTTAAGTTGACCAGGGAATCTTCATTAGCAGATTATGTAAGTAATCTGGTAATCTAAGTTTCAGCTTCATAGGAAACGGGTCACCCCATCTTTGCTCCGCTCCTGTGCCAACGAAAAACACCCAGAATGTTTATCACAGTTCCTTATGGAAAGATTGACAGACTGCTGTCTCAGCAAATCTAGCATACACATGCATTAAAAGCATACGGTAGCCATCCGAAGTGCTAACACAAACAGTCCGACATTAGAAATGCAGGCTATCCTCCGAATAACTGTCCTAAATTATCTACGCAGAAAATGAACCCTAACAGAGCCTCATTACGTCATGCCCTACAAAGATTTAAAAGTTGTAACTCGAAATCCTTTATATGTGAAAATTGTGGCACAGAAGTTAAAAATAGTGCCCGAATATCTGTTCTTTCTTGCTGTGCAACCTGGGGAGCTCCACCAAATATAGCGTGGTCGTAAATGCCATGCTTTAATTTCCCAATGTTGCTCTAGCCTCGCTGAGCGTCAGTCACAATTCTCGTTCAGGGCAACACGTGATCAGCAATGACGCGTTCTAACGTACGCGCATCTCGCCTCGGGACAACTTCAAACCAGCAGCGGCCACTATGGCGCTCCACTAGCCCGACCACCCAGTGACCGTGATGAATGCGACCACACCTGTACTTGAGATGGAGGATGTAGCTCATGTAAATTGTAAGACTTTTTGCCACCTCCGAAATGTTCCCCCGCGCCGCGCGTAGTGACCTAATACATTGGAGGAAGCTGCAGGAGAAGCGGTAGCTGCTGCTTGTGAGTCACAGCCATCTACTTTAACCCCTTCCGAGCCGTGCGTAGCAACTTACATATAACTGAGGCCCTACCATATGATAGCCCTATCGGGTGTATTCTTGTGTTTCGCAAATTTTTTGTCAGTGGTTAATCCTAGTTTTGCCGCCGTTTAATGGTTGTAAAAAAAAATTTGTTGCGTTTCGCGACGATTTCGTGCACAATTAATCCTACTTTTGACGCGGTTGATTCGCCACAGAAGGAATGCAAATTTTAGATATGACTAAAGCTTAGCTTTCATTTTCTGCGTAGATAATTTAGGAATATATATATATCGGAAAAGGGAGAGAGTGAGACAAGGTAAGAATCATGCCGAATGACCACAAATATTTAAGACACTGACACAGGGAATTCCCTATGCACACAAGGTCATCATGATTGGCTCCAAGAAGGGGACAGTTAATTCAAATGGCCCAGTCAGATAAGATACAGTCCCTGCTGTGACAGAAAGTTGGCTGTAATAAAGGACTGCCGTAGAAATGTGCACCCAAGGGACGGTGTCAGAAAGAGATGCATACTTTGCGACAGGGTAACATCGCTTGAACAATGTATTCTGCCATCCACCAGGGGTTGCATTCACATTTTCTAGGTTGTAACAATAATAATACACTGGCGTTGACTAATAATAATCATTAACAGCTCAGCCAATACATAAATAAGAGACAGAAAGAGAGAGAGGGATCACCGCGTAACTAATTACAGCAAAGGTATAGCGTTCATTGAGTCTTCTGTTTCAATATCCAAACGTGCTTGTTGTCAGCCAACCAGGTTTTGCGTACATCGATCAAGGCCTGAGAACAGAAAATCTAAGTACTGTGTCTCTACGTTCATTTCTAGGTGGCAACGTGGTCACAGATGGATTAATTGTCCTTAACTGTTGTAGCAGGGTAGAGCGTGTGAACATGAACCCTGCAGGTAAATTGGTTGCTTGGAGAATGCCGTGTTCTCAGGTGTATCTTGTGTAGCCTGATGAGATCATCATCACGAAGAAAGGTGAAATATTTATAAAAAGAGAATTCCGAGTGTCTGTAATTATTTTTTCTTCCATTCGTGAACCAGCCAGCGTCAGAACAAATGTTGCTCCATTAAATGGCGTCTAGGTGTCCGAGGGAACGGGGCGTATATTAGTTGATGTCTTGGTATGGCGTCTTTCAATCAGTCTCATGTTCTACGTTTCACTGGTGTAAGATTTATTGTCCTCTGTCTGTGTCACACAGATAGGAGCTGGCAAGCTGCCTTTACAAGCCGCTGGAAATACCGCGCATATAATGTTTTATGTAGTATCATTAGAGAATGGAATGGCCCAGATGCCTATAGCTCAGGTGCGAGTCCAGCTGCTAGCATTGTCCTTTCTCTTCTTTTCCCTAACATTAATATCTTTTGAAAACTATCAGTCCTATCGTAGTCCCACATGTTTTGTTTGTATAGTGTGACACTTGCGGGACGTCTCTCGGTTAGCCAGTGTTCTGGGTGGTGATAAATCTCAGTGACGTGCACAAAACGCCCACTGACCTTCGCATCCGTGGTTCATGTGTCTGTATCATGGGAACATTTCCGCTCAAAATCAGTTTGAGAATACTACAAAAACCACATTTGCATGCAATCATGACATCTAATTGCGTGAAACAATATTTTACTGCACGTCCAACGGAATAACGATCACAGTGATAGTAAAAACGTCGATAGTTCACAGACACACTTAGAATAATAAATCCAAATAGTAAGAGCTAGGAAAAAACATTCAGCTATCCTCCGAATAACGGTCCTAAATTATCGAAGCAGAAAATATACCCTAACAGGGTCTCAGATACGTGTCAATTGCGCACTTCTGGGCACTATAACGCCACCGCCGAATTGCGAACTTTCTGCGACTTCTGCAGCCGCCGAGAGTATCCCCCACGCCTTGGGGCTAAACTAGATGACTAGGACTCATGAGCAAATAAAATGAAGGAAGTTGCAGGAGATGCGGTAGCTGTTGCTTGTGAGTCCCAGCCATCTAGTTTAGCCCCAATCCACGCCACGTGAGCGGCATGGGGGGTACTGTCGGCGGTGGCGGAAGCCGCCAAAAGTGCGCAATTTAAGACGATGGAAGTACGCACTTGACACATGACTGAGGCCCTGTTAGGGTATATTTTCCGCCTCAATAATTTAGGACCGTTATTCAGAGAATAGCCCAGTATTCTCTTCTTCTTCTTCTTAGCATTCACAAGCTGTAATAAACTCTGGCGGAAAGTTCTGTTTGTTCTTCCACGCTCTGAACGTCTTGACCGAGAACTTACTTTTGTGTGCACATCCGTTATACAGATCTGGTTTATTTGCATGCAGACTGTTGGTTCTTTGCCCATCAGGCAGATGCTCTCTGACTTTGAAAAAAGCACACCCCTAATTAGTCGCCTCCAAGGACATGCATGTTAGGGTGGCATTGGGTCTGTTCTTTGTTCTCCAAAAAAGGGATCCCTGGAATCCACAGAGGGATGTAAGTCTTTGGTTTTATAAGCAGCTGTGCAATCACTAAAGGGCTACTATATAAACTCACTAGTCTGTAGATAGCAGCACTCTTTGCATCCTCAGCGAGTGCAGTCTGGCTCTCACAGTGGAACTCTAATATTGAAGTATTGAATGAATCAATTTTCAGAGGAGACACCAGGGTGTCTTAGCCTGTGAGCCAAAGTTTACTAGCACATATCGTTCTTGATGATAGAGTCAGTTCATAACAACTCACTTATTGCTCAGTAATAGCAACTGAAACTTTGGTTGATTGTGAGATACAGACGCTCATCACCTTTCATTATTCATTGTTTTATAAGTGTTTTCAGTATGGTGGTCAGTGAATACTCAGATTTGAGTAGTGGTGTCTGTTGCAGTTTCATTCATGTACAGTTTTAACTTATGTGTAAGTGGACTTGTTGGGACTCTAGTCATGTTTACTGAGGCAGTTCCATACATCATATCCTAGACCTTGTCTGGCCATTAAAATGTTACCTGATTTAAATATGTTGCTATCTGCCATTCAGAAGTCATACCATAGGGGGATGTATCACAGCACATGACCAGACTGAAAGAACAACATGTTAAAAGGGCTGTGGCCAGACAAGAAAACTATGCAGGAAGCCACAGAAGAATAAGAAACCAACAAAGAACTGCTGTTGTCGGCTGTTACACACTGGAATATACGGAGGGGATCCAAGCACTGATAGACTGAATGGTTTGATGTGCAGTAAGGTTAATCAATCAGTTAGATAGTGTGGGAAACTGACGAGCTAGATAGCATGGGTAACTGACGAGCTAGATAGCATGGGTAACTGACGAGCTAGATAGCATGGGTAACTGACGACCGAGCAGACAGGTTAGACTGCTAGCTATTGCGTCATGGCGGAAGTCAGTATCTACACCTTGAGATATTTGCAGCGAGAGATGGATCATCTGCGTGTATACCCAGTTTGCTATGATGGTGGTTCTTGGGGTGAATATAAGAATGTGGAATTAGGAGTGGATCTGGCAAGAAGGAACGTACCAGAGGAAGGGAACAACTTGTGTGTAATCAGTGTTCTATGGCGACAGTGAGCATCTATACTTTCAGACATTTGCTGTATGAGATGGTGCATCTGTGGATTTTCCCAGTATGCTGTGGTGTTGGTTTGTAAATAAGTATCACGGTGTGAAGGAACATAATGACTTCATAGTCAGCATCATCAAGTGCCTTGCTAGCTGACATGGTCAGTCATGCCTCTCTACAACCTATGATCATCAGTAGCATGTATCAGTTCATGTATTGACACCTCTCCATGCTATAAAAAAAAACTGTCACGAATCTTTTTGTGTTGTCTCTCTTTCAACAGATCTTTCCTGTGGTCCCTGCATGTTCCAGCATCCTTATTCTCATAAAGTGACCATAAAAGACGTCTTGTCTCTTTCTGATATTTGTGATAAGTTGTCTTTGAGCCCTCACATCTTTAAAACATCTCGGTTTGTAAAATAACATTTCCGAGGCCTTAAAAATTGTTTGGCTTGTTTATTTATTGTCCATGATTCACAGTTATCTGTTAAATCTGGCTTTATGTAGCATGCAGTAATTCTTTTTCTAACCTCCAGTGACATGGAATTATTGCATAAATGTTATTCTTTTTAAAAAATGCAGTTTTAGCCTGTCTTCTGTCGGATGTTATCCATCTATAAAATGTATCTACTTGTACTAAATAATGATTTTTACCTCTTTGAAACATTTCAGCACCATTCTTCTCTTTGATATTAACTCTTAAGTAGGTATTAACACTTCATTGTTCCTTATCTTTCCGTAGTTCTGTATAACAATTGCGGACAACCCATCTATAGATGAACAGATTAAGAAAGCTTTGGAAGGTGTGCGGTCCTTTCCTGTGAAGGATCAGAGTATCTGTGTGGAGATCCCGCTGGTGACAAACGATGGAGACCACATGTATCTGGAGGCCTGGGACCTCAGCTTCAACCTCAGTAGTCTGGACATGTCAGCCAGTAAAATCCAGCATGTATTCACCAGAATGGGTGAGTTACAGGCGTAGCTGTCTTTTTTATTTTGTAACTCTTTCACTTCCCAGGTATATCTTACTTTAGTTTTTTTTTTTTTTTTTTATCCTATGAAGATGGACTTAATAGCAGTGCATATGTATGTTTGGAGAAGTTCAACAGAGACTCTATCGAATATGAGTTAAGAACATACAACATAACACTCAGGACACTCCTATAAGCATTCTGGGTTCTTTTTCACCTTTTCACCCCATCTTAGAAGTTCCGACATTTTGTAGGAAATTTCTGGGGAGTTCATCGGACAGTCCTTTATTATGAGGGAAGAGGTTAGGGTCAGTTTCTTCTTCTTCTTATGTCATCTTTTTCTTTCGTTCACCCAGAATATCTTATCTATATCTGCAATATTATCTGAAGTTTGTTTGAAAAACTTGAACAACAATGTTGTCTCTACTATGAACTTCACTGCCTTGTGTAATTCACTCAGCTACACTAAAGTTCAGTTTCAACTGCTGTTTCTCTTGGCCAAAATTTGAGGAGTGGGATAGGAATTGGGGATACTTTGGGGCGGGTCCTGAAAAGGGCCATGTTAGTGTGGTGGTGGGGGAGGGCCCTGAAAAGGACCAGCAGTCTCAATTGATGCATTCTGGTGGGTTAGGGTTAGCCGCATCAGTGCTGAGAGGTCAAGGAGATTCATAATGAAGGCAAAGTCATAGAGTGAGAAAACCACTTCCAAACAAGGCACAGTGATGGTGACGAACGAACGAAAGTAGCACACCCTGGAAATTATGAGCAGTGACGATAAAAACCGCTGAAAACAACCAACACATTATGCCCCTAGAATAAAGGAGTTTTGGGGTAAGTTTTAAATGAACACTGACTGGTTCTTAATTTATAACGTACCCCAAACAGGAAATCCCTGTGGGAAATCCACAGCTAACCTGACAGTCCATTATTTCAAGGGGTGGAAGTGTGCTGTTGTGTGGTGCTTTTTTTTAGTGTTAATCTAGTGTCTTCTAATGCTAACCCTAACCCTAAACTTGGCTGTAGATAAATCGCGAGAAACGACAACCTGAACACCCTAGAATTTATTGGGAATGTCTCCCGTGACGTCAGGGGTGAGTTATAAATTAAGTACCCACTGACTAACCCTAACCCCCATATAATATAGGGTTATTTGGGGAACTCCCAAGGAATTTCCTACCAAGTCTGGCAGCCCCCGAAATGTGGTGAAAAAGAACCACATTTTGTCCCCACCCTCAGCAGAAAGTGCAGAGTAGCAGACTCATTGATACAAGTAGCAGACTCATTGATACAAGTAGCAGACTCATTGATACAAGTAGCAGACTCATTGATACAAGTAGCAGACTCATTGATACAAGTAGCAGACTCATTGATACAAGTAGCAGACTCATTGATACAAGTAGCAGACTCATTGATACAAGTAGCAGACTCATTGATACAAGTAGCAGACTCATTGATACAAGTAGCAGACTCATTGATACAAGTAGCAGACTCATTGATACAAGTAGCAGACTCATTGATACAAGTAGCAGACTCATTGATACAAGTAGCAGACAAGTAGCAGACTCATTGATACAAGTAGCAGACTCATTGATACAAGTAGCAGACTCATTGATACAAGTAGCAGACTCATTGATACAAGTAGCAGACTCATTGATACAAGTAGCAGACTCATTGATACAAGTAGCAGACTCATTGATACAAGTAGCAGACTCATTGATACAAGTAGCAGACTCATTGATACAAGTAGCAGACTCATTGATACAAGTAGCAGACTCATTGATACAAGTAGCAGACTCATTGATACAAGTAGCAGACTCATTGATACAAGTAGCAGACTCATTGATACAAGTAGCAGACTCATTGATACAAGTAGCAGACTCATTGATACAAGTAGCAGACTCATTGATACAAGTAGCAGACTCATTGATACAAGTAGCAGACTCATTGATACAAGTAGCAGACTCATTGATACAAGTAGCAGACTCATTGATACAAGTAGCAGACTCATTGATACAAGTAGCAGACTCATTGATACAAGTAGCAGACTCATTGATACAAGTAGCAGACTCATTGATACAAGTAGCAGACTCATTGATACAAGTAGCAGACTCATTGATACAAGTAGCAGACTCATTGATACAAGTAGCAGACTCATTGATACAAGTAGCAGACTCATTGATACAAGTAGCAGACTCATTGATACAAGTAGCAGTCTCATTGATACAAGTAGCAGTCTCATTGATACAAGTAGCAGACTCATTGATACAAGTAGCAGACTCATTGATACAAGTAGCAGACTCATTGATACAAGTAGCAGACTCATTGATACAAGTAGCAGACTCATTGATACAAGTAGCAGACTCATTGATACAAGTAGCAGTCTCATTGATACAAGTACCAGACTCATTGATACAAGTAGCAGTCTCATTGATACAAGTAGCAGACTCATTGATACAAGTAGCAGACTCATTGATACAAGTAGCAGACTCATTGATACAAGTAGCAGTCTCATTGATACAAGTAGCAGACTCATTGATACAAGTAGCAGACTCATTGATACAAGTACCAGACTCATTGATACAAGTACCAGACTCATTGATACAAGTACCAGACTCATTGATACAAGTAGCAGACTCATTGATACAAGTAGCAGACTCATTGATACAAGTAGCAGTCTCATTGATACAAGTAGCAGACTCATTGATACAAGTAGCAGACTCATTGATACAAGTACCAGACTCATTGATACAAGTACCAGACTCATTGATACAAGTAGCAGTCTGATTGTATGGTTGTCTTGCCCCTGCCCTGAGTGTTGAGCGTTCTGATTGTATGTCTGTTTTGCCCCTCCCCTGAGTGTTGAGCGTTCTGATTGTATGTACATCTTGCCCCTGCCCTGAGTGTTGAGTGTTCTGATTGTATGTCCATCTTGCCCCTACCCTAAGTGTTGAGTGTTCTGATTGTATGTCCGTCTTACCCCTACCCTAAGTGTTGAGCGTTCAGATTGTATGTCCGTCTTGACCCTCCCCTGTGTGTTAAGTGTTCTGATTGTATGTCCATCTTGACCCTGCCCTGTGTGTTTAGTGTTCTGATTGTATGTCCGTCTTGCCCCTCCCCTGTGTGTTTAGTGTTCTGATTGTATGTCCGTCTTGCCCCTCTCCTGTGTGTTTAGTGTTCTGATTGTATGTCCGTCTTGCCCCTGCCCTGTGTGTTTAGTGTTCTGATTGTATGTCCGTCTTGACCCTGCCCTGTGTGTTTAGTGTTCTGATTGTATGTCCGTCTTGACCCTGCCCTGTGTGTTTAGTGTTCTGATTGTATGTCTGTCTTGACCCTGCCCTGAGTGTTGAGCCTTCTGATTGTATGTCCGTCTTGACCCTGCTCTGTGTGTTGACTAATCTGATTTAATGTCCGTCTTGCCCCTGCCCTGTGTGTTTAGTGTTCTGATTGTATGTCCATCCTCCCCTTAGAAGAAAGAAGAAGGACAAAAGCAATTCTACATGCTGAAAAAATGAAGAGAATGTTAAACCACCCATTACACGAAAAATTGGCAGCCAGGACAAAAAACAGAATAAAGCGCACAAGCCTGAACCATCTAACGAAGGAATTTGGAAAGTCATTCTCTTCACTACTTAACCAACAATGTACACCTGAAGAGCTATTTTTCGATCTCTGGGACTCCGAATTATTGACACTCAATGTGTCAACATCCATCCCGAACCTGGGAAACAAAGATGCTGAGCCCGCTTTAGTGAAGAAAGCACTCACAATGGAACACCTCAACAACATGTTCCCACAGGACAGCTGGACAAGAATCTACACGGATGGATCAGCAAAAGAGGCAACTACGAATGGTGGGGCAGGTGTCTACATAAAACTCCCAGATGCCACTACTGTGTCCCTAGCAGCCCCACTGGACGAACTTTGCTCTAACTACAAGGCAGAACTCTCAGCTCTATTGATGGCAGCACAGTATATGAACAATCTGCAAATCACCGCAGGCAGGATAGTTTTTCTCACTGACTCACTGTCAGCTGTACAGGCCCTTGAGTCCAAACCTACCGACAGCACACTACAAAGTATAACACAGGAACTTGCTATGTTGTCAAATAAGGCAGAAATTCACTTGCAGTGGATTCCGTCTCACTGCGGCATCAAAGGCAATGAAAGCGCAGATGCTTTAGCCAAGGAAGGCAGTAACAAACTACAGACCTACCAGCCACTATCTTTTCCAGAAGTCAAAACTCTCATTAAGAGAAAATCAGAAACAGACTGGAAAAACAACACTGGTTATGACTACGGAAAAGATTTTCTGAGGCACTTGAACAGAACAGACCAAGTCACAGTTTTTCACTTACGCACTGGACACTGCAGACTCAATAAACACTCATATAAATTAGGTATGAGCCAAACAGCTCTCTGCCAGTGTCTTCGTGCTGAACAGACTCCAGAACATGTCCTGCAAGACTGTCCTCTCCTGGCGGAGCTGCGGAGCGACATATGGCAACACCCAGTAGAACTGACAACTAAGCTTTGGGGAAACCTAAGAGACCTTGAAAAGACATCCCAGTTTATGACCCACAGTGGATTATGCGCATGACCAGAGATCGCTGAAGAAGAAGAAGAAGTATGTCCATCCTGCGTGTTGAGTATCGACCAGATTCCCTGGTCATTACTGGCTGCACCGTTCTCTTCAGACCATGGTAATCTGTTTGTGCCTTTGCACTGTTTACTTGCATCAAAGGGCTCTTACAACATCTAGCTTGTCCTGCATCAGTTTACTGCCAAGTGATGCAGAACCAGCTAATACTATAAACAAGAAGTAGCTGATCTAATAATATAGATAGTTAGTTGTGCTACCTTTACAGGACATTGAAGAACCAACACCTGGATTTGTGTCCTCTTGTGGTTTTTCTAGGCAAATTTAAAGCCCGTAGTTTGCCATTTCTTTCTGGGAGGTTAACTGTCAATACCAGTGTCAAAACCAGCACATGGCGGTCTGCTGCGAAATCACCTTCAGCTTGGATCGAACCTGGCACCTGGGCATTACGAAGTGTGTTCGCAACGCCTAAGCCACAGACACCGATAATAATAATAACATAGAAACGGTTGTTTACCAAAATACCTGTCTGTAATAGAAGGTAGCATTATTATATTTATTGTTTTTGTATTGTTAAAATTGTTATTTTTTTGTTGTTGTTGTTATTATTGTTGATGTTTTTATCGGCACATAAAAAAAATACAGTAATCGTGAGGACCCACCAGTCGTGTCAAAATACAGCTGTGACACAAACAGTGTACTTGTTGTTATTGTTTTTATTTATTGTTGTTGTGACATTTGTTATTTGTGTTGTTATTGTTGTTGATGATGATGTTATGTTTGTTGCTATTTGAAATGATACAAGTTTTACCGCATTAAGGTAAACATTTACTTAGCAAAATTGATGGCTAAAGAGACGAGGCTTAGGAGGGCAGAGTCCAGAAAAGACAATCACGAGGTTGGCCTGATTGTTGTGAGATATGAGAAGAAGTGATCTGACTAAGCATAGAAGATGAGAATTGAACAGATGATTAGAAGAGTGAAAAAAAAAATCATTTGTGTTTGGCGCTTTTGATGAGTTGAGTGGATGAGTGAATGTGAGTGAACCTGAGAACTCAATCAACTCAAACAGCAGTTGACTGTGAGGTTGGTATGCATGCAGAATGATCCATTGTGACCAGTAACCCAGTAATTATGATGTGTTTGAGCTGGGTTCTCTCTAATCATGACCCTAGACAACAGTAAAAAAGGATAGACGATGCAGCCTGGAACAGTCAATAAAATATATCGTAAGAGGCTTTGTGTCTTTCATCAATTTCTTCTAGTAGTTTGTCACTGCTGCTGAATCCTGGTACAACTATAGTCAAGCTTTCTGCAGTTTAACTTGACCATCCTTAGGAAGTGGATTACATTATTATATTTGTTAATATTGTTATAATTGTTTTTGATGTTATTATTGTTGTTGTTGGTATAGTTGTGTCTATTATTATTGTTATTGTTAGTATTATTATTGTTCCAATCTTCAGGTGTCACATTAAAGTCACTGTTGAGTGCTACAAGAGCCATGCCAGCCTATAGACTGGCAAAGAACCAGGGGGAAAAGGATGGCGGTTACCGGTTAACTTACAGGTTTTATCTAGGGAAGCCCCAAGTAAGTATCTTCAATGGTATCACAGCTATTGGTAGTAAAGTTATCTATGTTGTCACGGCTTTAACAGTAATCATTGTGATAAACATTCTTCAAGATTTACATATGCCTTGAAATTTGCTTGAGCGATTGAGTCTCTATTTTTTGGGCTATGAGAGATGGGGGAAAAGTGGAGAATGAGAAGCAACAATGGAATTCATAATCTGTTTAACCCTCTCATATCAAAAAGGCTGTCTAGTCACTTCTGGTTGCGATAAAACTGTTTCTGCAGTGACCTGTTCTCCAAAAGTGTAGTTAAATGTTATAAGTTCTGTGTGTGCGTGTGTAGGTTTACGGGCCGTGGATATCACCATTACTTCTAGCTTCCCATTATTCACACTGAGGCCCATTTTAGCACTTTCTACCACCACTGCATCAGTTCCTGTAGTTCTTTTTGACATTTAAGATACTAAAAAGAACCTCTTTTTGACTTGTCGCTATCAAGACAGTGTCATCAGCATAATATTGGTTGTTTATTTTAGACCACCGACGACAATTTCTGGCATATACATGTCAGATCTCATTGTATATTCACTACAGAATGAAAACAAATCGGGTGATAGTACACATCCTTGTTGTATTCTTTTTAATCTCTGGGGAATATTTTCCATTGAGTGCTTTGTGTTTATTGATTACCTTTTTATATATCTTTATCTTTAAATTATTTGAGAGAGAAAAATTTTCAAGTGTAGATACATTAAAAAAAAAAATTTTTTATTTATTAGTGACCTGTGTTAAATGAGTGTTTTATTTGAATTTCTTTTCTGGGTATTCCCATAGGTTCATGGCTCATTATTTGTAGCATTTTTCTGGTAAAAGGGGGAAATCACTACCTTATTACTGTCATTATGTTGGTGAATAAATAGACTGTGGTGGTTGGTGTGTATAGAGAGAATGACAGATAGAGACACAGATACTGGGTACACAAAAAGAGTTGAATGGGAGTAGATCATGAGGCAGTCCAGGAAGGTGGGGGGTTGTGTGGTGTGGTTGGGGTGGTTGTATGGTGTGGTTTGGAGGGGGGGGTTGTGTGGTGTGGGGGGGGGGGGTTGTGTGGTGTGGGGGGGGGGGTTGTGTGGTGTGGTTTTGGGGGGGGGGGAGTAGAAAGATAACACCCAGGCAGACCTACAAACACTTTGAGTCACCATCTGGAAAGAGAAGGTATTCATGAGATGAACGGAGGTGGATGATGTCTGCAACAGTAAACATCAAGGGTATCTTTTTCCTGTTTACTAACTTTGAGCATGGCCTAAATGCCAACCTAAATATTAACTGTAGTACCAGGAAATCTCAAAAGAAGTAAATGTGACCTATGGGATGTTGGCTGCATCGTCAACATGTAAATTTTGCCTGGGCCATGTAGGTGTGTTTGGGAATGAGCAGGCAGATAGATCAGCTGGACCGGCCCCACTTGGGAGTATATGGCAACTACACAAGGCAGAGGTGATCTCTCACCTCCAGGATGAGGTAACAAGTAAAATGGAAGATACTGAAAACCCGTACCTGGAGAGAATGATGCAGCAGAACAACCTGAAGCAACAGGGAGTATCTGCAGGCTCAGGGCATTCAGGTGTCCTTCGGTTTGTATCAGTCCACTTCTTTCCATGAAGCTGATTGCTCCCCTCATCAGAACACCTCCACGTGGAGAAGCCTCACAAATGTAGTCTGGGTGTAATGCTCATGTATTCTGTGGTAAACCTTTCTCGAACTGTCATACCCCTGGAGCATAAAGAATTATTTGTCACTAAACCAAACCCTTCTCCAGTCATCTCCATTGACGGTGCTGCTTTCCCCTCTACAGTCGATTTTGACGATGCCTGTCAGTAAGAACACTTTCAGTTGCAACATCTCATATGTTGTGTTTGTTTGTATGCACAGTATATATATATATATAATACTTGCAGGTTTGCTTATGTCGGCCAGATATATATAGCTGTCTTGTTGCAGGACTTTAATATTATATGCACACCTGTTTACTGATCTGGCTTATTTTTGTACAGACTGTTGGTCCTTTGCCTTTTGGCAGATGCACTCTGATCTTAGAGGGGGGGGGGTCCTCTCCTTATTATAAATCTACTTTTATGACATGATAACCGGGAGAGCAGTGGGTCTGTTCTTTCTCCCCCAGAAAGAGTCACCCCTACCCAGCTGAGAAAGATTGAACCAAGACTTTCAGTTTCCATTCCAAATAAAGCCTCAACAAGCAGACATGTAACATCTGCATGTTCCTTCAGGGAATTTCCCATAATTGTTTATTTTCATGCTACAGAGGAAATAGAAATATTCAGTTTCAGTTTCGTGCTGGGAAAGCCCCTTGTGATCCTTGTGAAAACTTGGCCTAAATTCAGTTTCGTGTTCCAGTTTGGTAACAAGGTTGAGGGAGTGAGGAGGTGGCTGAAAAAAAAAGAATCTCCCATATCCTGTTTCTGCTCTAAAAAGCTCTGATAAAAATTATAGTGTATGGCTTATTGTGGTGGGAAAGTCCATGTTGTACAAGAAATGGGTATGTAAAGGTTTGAACAGCTAAGAGAAAAATTAGAGGACAATTTTTTTTATGTTGGGGGAAGCCCAAGTTTTTTAAAAAAACACCATGTGTTTGTTATAAAAGGACGAATACTTGGGCCAGTTGCAGAGAAACATTTCACAGTTCCAGGAGTATTCTAGACTTTCTGCTTGGTTTGTTATAGCAACCGAGGATTTTTTTTTTTTTTTGCCGTTCTTAATTGGATGTTTAGAATTATTTTTTCCAGTTAAGATATTATTTCTTTGGCTTGGCGGTTAGTAAATGAATGTCACAGTTTCGTGATCATTGAGTACTAGGGTTCAATTCCCAGAATTGATGCTTTATTTATAAAAAAAATGTTCATGGGGTTTTTGGACAGTAGTGCAAGAGTTACACTGTGGAAGAGATCGGGGTCTCACCACATAATATTTCTAATCACTGGGACACTGTAGCCAACCTTTATTTTGGAAACGCCGCATACAGATAAAGAAATTAATTAATTAACTTCTTCTTTATAATATTCTCACAGTATCATGGATAACACCCCCCCCCCCCCTTCCCTAACTGAGATCCTTAAAAATCTGAATGTCAAAGAAGATTGGCTAGTCAACGGTTTCTTGTCTCGGAAACTGAAATATTTTGGCTCTGGGATTGGAAAGAATAGTGATATAAGGCTAAGGCATGGTGCCAAGAAGGAGAGGCAGGAGCCGACCAGCACAAAGATGGAGATATAAGAGACACCTTGGGTAGGAAAGTGCACAAAGTGAGAGAGCTGGCGAGAGACTGGGTTTCTTTCAGGCAGGCTGTGATGAGAGAAGTTCTGCAAAAGACAACATTGAGCTTGTCATGCATCAGTTTAAGTGGTGCAGAACTAGCAAGTCAGTCTGCTTGTTCAATTCCCAACACACTGGCATGACCTAGAGAAAATATCCAAAGGATGCTACCTAGGACCTTAAAAGATATGCTTGCCACTCTCCAGGGAGCATACCTGTCTCCACCTACCTCATCATGCTTTGTGAGTCAGTGACAATCATACCTGTCTCCACCTACCTCATCATGCTTTGTGAGTCAGTGACAAGCATACCTGTCTCCACCTACCTCATCATGCTTTGTGAGTCAGTGACAAGCATACCTGTCTCCACCTACCTCATCATGCTTTGTGAGTCAGTGACAAGCATACCTGTCTCCACCTACCTCATCATGCTTTGTGAGTCAGTGACAATCACAAACAACATGTGGTGCAGCTGGTTCTCAAGCCGTGGCAAAGCTGCAGTGACCGCCTTCACCTCCATTCTTGTATAGATGATCTTCATTGTCATGATGTTAGATTTTCCATCCAAAATCTCTTCTCTTAGTCTCCCTTTGCTTTTCTTCCCCTGCAACTTTCCTGTTGTCACAGTGCACTCCAGCTTTCCCTTTATCACATATCCAGAGAGCATTTTTTTTCTGAGGGCTCCAAATAAAATGAATGAGAGGATGTAGAAGAAAATATCACATTTGTAACCAATAAGGATTGAACAAGCTTTTTTTTTTTTTAAACTAAATTTTGTTTTAATGATTTATTGTTTCTGCCCACAGACTCATTTACTGGGCGAAGGTTACAAAACTGTACGTGCTGGGTCGGTGCCAACTGCTCACGGTCTGTTTTCAATCACCGTATCATTCCGTACGCAGCTCCTCTTGTCTCCAGACATGGCGTCATCACCGGCAGCAGCCATTGAGATGAATGACAACTACTTCGTCAAAGAATACCGACATGCGTCAGTGGCAGCACTAGTGTCAGATCCACAGTCATGCTCTCCATCTCATAAATAGTATGTTTGTGTTCTTTATGTCTTTTTCCACTTTATGATTGTATCCTTATATCTTGTTCCTCATTATGATTTAGCTCTTTGTCTTGTTCCTTGTTTAATTATGTTCTGTATCTTGTTCCCTGTATGATTGTGTTCTTTATGTCTTGTTTACTTGTGGTAAACAGTATAATTATGTTCTTTATGTCTTGCTCACCTGTAATAAACAGTTGTGTCCTTATGTCTTTATGTACAACTGGTACTATTAGCCGACACGATGATAGAGTTTTTCTGTTGGGGGCAAAAATTAACATCCTAACCCTCACAGTCCATGACGATAGCACCAGCCATATGGCCCTAAATCCTCAAGCTCAGGACCCCCCCCCCCCCCTGTCTACACCGCCCAAAAAATAGTGGTAAAACAGACAGCAGTGACAGTTGTCAGTTTGACTGTAGGTACTTTTAGCAAGTAGACTCTCCGTTGGCTACTGAAGAGTGGGACAGAGCACATGTGGGAATGTCCCCAGTTTGGTGATCCCAGTTCTTGATTCTTTCATTCATTCTTAATGTCTTTGTTCACCTGTGATAAGCAGTATGGTTGTGTTCTTTATGTCTTACTCACCTGTGATAAGCAGTATGGTTATGTTCTTTATGTCTTATTCACCTGTGATAAACAGTATGGTTGTGTTCTTTATGTCTTGTTCACCTGTGATAAACAGTATAGCTGTGTTCCTTATGTCTTGTTCACCTGTGATAAACAGTATGGTTGTGTTATTTATGTCTTGTTCACCTGTGATAAACAGTATGGTTGTGTTATTTATGTCTTGTTCACCTGTGATAAACAGTATGGTTGTATTCTTTATGTCTGGTTCACCTGTGATAAACAGTATGGTTGTGTTATTTATGTCTTGTTCACCTGTGATAAACAGTATGGTTGTGTTATTTATGTCTTGTTCACCTGTGATAAACAGTATGGTTGTATTCTTTATGTCTGGTTCACCTGTGATAAACAGTATGGTTGTGTTATTTATGTCTTGTTCACCTGTGATAAACAGTATGGCTGTGTTCTTTATGTCTTCGCTCACCTGTGATAAACAGTATGGTTGTGTTCTTTATGTCTTGTTCACCTGTGATAAACAGTATGGTTGTGTTATTTATGTCTTGTTCACCTGTTATAAACAGTATGGTTGTGTTCTTTATGTCTTGTTAACCTGTGATAAACAGTATGGTTGTGTTCTTTATGTCTTGTTCACCTGTGATAAACAGTATGGTTGTGTTATTTATGTCTTGTTCACCTGTGATAAACAGTATGGTTCTGTTCTTTATGTCTTATTCACCTGTGATAAACAGTATGGTTGTGTTCTTTATGTCTTGTTCACCTGTGATAAACAGTTTGGTTGTGTTCTTTATGTCTTGTTCACCTGTGATAAACAGTATGGCTGTGTTCTTTATGTCTTCGCTCACCTGTGATAAACAGTATGGTTGTGTTCTTTATGTCTTGTTCACCTGTGATAAACAGTATGGTTGTGTTATTTATGTCTTGTTCACCTGTGATAAACAGTATGGTTCTGTTCTTTATGTCTTATTCACCTGTGATAAACAGTATGGTTGTGTTCTTTATGTCTTGTTCACCTGTGATAAACAGTATGGTTGTGTTCTTTATGTCTTCGTTCACCTGTGATAAACAGTATGGTTGTGTTCTTTATGTCTTGTTCACCTGTGATAAACAGTATGGTTGTGTTCTTTATGTCTTGTTCACCTGTGATAAACAGTATGGTTGTGTTATTTATGTCTTGTTCACCTGTGATAAACAGTATGGTTCTGTTCTTTATGTCTTATTCACCTGTGATAAACAGTATGGTTGTGTTCTTTATGTCTTGTTCACCTGTGATAAACAGTATGGTTGTGTTCTTTATGTCTTCGTTCACCTGTGATAAACAGTATGGTTGTGTTCTTTATGTCTTGTTCACCTGTGATAAACAGTATGGTTGTGTTCTTTATGTCTTGTTCACCTGTGATAAACAGTATGGTTGTGTTCTTTATGTCTTGTTCACCTGTGATAAACAGTATGGTTGTGTTCTTTATGTCTTGTTCACCTGTGATAAACAGTATGGTTGTGTTATTTATGTCTTGTTCACCTGTGATAAACAGTATGGTTGTGTTCTTTATGTCTTGTTCACCTGTGATAAACAGTATGGTTGTGTTCTTTGTGTCTTGTTCACCTGTGATAAACAGTATGGTTGTGTTCTTTATGTCTTGTTCACCTGTGATAAACAGTATGGCTGTGTTCCTTATGTCTTGTTCACCTGTGAAAAACAGTATGGTTGTGTTATTTATGTCTTGTTCACCTGTGATAAACAGTATGGTTGTGTTCTTTATGTCTTATTCACCTGTGATAAACAGTATGGTTGTGTTCTTTATGTCTTCGTTCACCTGTGATAAACAGTATGGTTATGTTCTTTATGTCTTGTTCACCTGTGATAAACAGTATGGTTGTGTTCTTTATGTCTTGTTCACCTGTGATAAACAGTATGGTTGTGTTCTTTACGTCTTGTTCACCTGTGATAAACAGTATGGCTGTGTTCCTTGTGTCTTGTTCACCTGTGATAAACAGTATGGTTGTGTTATTTGCCTGTTATTTACACACATGATTGCAGCTAAATCTTTCTAATTCTGAAACAGTTCTTCTTCTTCTTTAGAGACAACTATGCATCTCTTCCTTCCAGAATTGATCAGAGGGACGACCTTGCTTCTGAGATCTTTACCAGTGCCCTGAAGTTTGCCTTGTAGGTTTCCTCAAAACGGCCAGATTTCTTCTCTCTGATCAGTAACATTTCGGCAGACATGCCCTGCAGTCTTGAATGTTGAGCTAACAGCTGACGTCACAGCACTTGGGGCATTCTCATATTCTTCTTTCTTCTTCGCATTCACCAGCTGTAAACTCTGACGGAAAGTTCTGGTTGTTCGTCCACTTCTGGACTGCAGTCCTGTTCCAGAACCTGAGTGTTGCATGTGTATCTGTTTTACAGATCTGACTCATTTGTATGCAGACTGTTGGTTCCTTGCCTCTCAGGCAGATGCACTCTAACTTCAAAGGAAGTTCCCAATTAGTCGGCTCTTACGACATGCTTTTGGGTAGGCAGTGGGTCTATTTTTCTTGTAATATGGCCCCGGAACCCACATGGGAAATTCCCATATTCACTCTGTCCTCATCTTCAGCAGCCGGCAAAAGTTCCAGTTTCAGTGGTGCCAGTAACAGTTTGATTATATGTCCATCTCACCCGTCCTCTTAGTGTAGAGTGTAAACCAGATCCCCTGGTCACTCCAAGCTGTACCACTCTCTACAAAATGTAATGATATATTCTTTTCACAGCATTGTTTACTTGCTTCCTAAGGGCCTTGACTACATCTAGATTGTCATGCATCAGTTCACCACCCATTGGTACAGTACCAGCCACTCTGTCTGTCTGCTCCTTTTCCAACACTGCTGCATAACCTGGAGCAAATATCCAAAGATTGCACTGGAGTTTGGTGCACTACAATATGGGGCAGTCAGTAAGCCCCATACAGTGTAAATCTGCACTGAATTTGATATCCCATTCTTAGTCTTATATTGGCCTTATCAAGAGCCACAGCGGATTGGAAAAAATTAATGACAGAAGGCCAGGTACCCACAAGGAGGTCCAGGGACCAGCTAGCACAAATATGGGCACAGCCTGTAAGTGTCTCCTTGGATGTGAAAGTGCATGAGGTGGGAGAGCTGGCCAGAGGAAATGTTTCTTTCAGGCAGACTGAAATGGGAGCAATATTCTGCAAAGGACCTGCTACATTTATGATGATTATTTTTAGTCCGACAATTCTGGTCTGCCAATTTCTGTCAAGGCCGTTTATATTGTCATGCTATGGTCTGTAATTTATGTTGTCTTTTCTGAGGTTCAATTTCATGAATTGTTTTACAGGTGCATTTGGCTCCTAAATGGATTTAAAATGCAGTCTTATCTTCTGCAGCCAAATGACAAGATCTGACAGCCCTTCTCACTGTGTTAATTCCTCCCACTTGTTGGAAAAGGGAGAGGTAGAAGCAGCAGGTGATGGTGCCCTTTGGATGCAAAATAGGTGATTAGTCTTTTCTCTGTAGTCATTGTAAGTATGTAAAGTAAAGAACCCATTTTTTATGCTACATATGATGCTAAACTGCTATTTTTATAGAGTTATCACACTTGGTGAGTGATGTGGTCAACATCGAAGCGGCCACCTTTACTTCCCATTTTAGCTGTTTCTCTCTTCACTTCTCTGTAGTATGTTCCCAGTTTAGTCATGTAACTGTTGATATACCAGCAGTTTTCTAGACATGTTTCTTGTTTCTTCACTATACCTTAATATATCCCATTTAATATTAACCAGTTTCCTCAATAATTTGTTTTGGACACTTTCATTCCTTTCTCCAACTTTCACTGGTGCATGTTAAAATTAAAATAACTTTGGAATTGAATACTTGGTTTTAAAACTGTGTACAGTAAAACTTCCAATCAACCATCATCATTCGGACCAGGGTTGTGATGGATAACAGAAATCTCTTAATAGATGTGTAAAGTAACATGATTTCACTGTGGGCTTGGGACAAAAAGGGAAATAAAATCCTTTAAAAGTGAATAATTCATATATAATGTTACAAAACAATGAATATAAATTTTGGTATAATAGAAATGTGTCTTTGAGGCTGAAGCTTTCCCTGCGGTGATGTTCAATATCTTACTCAGAAGTAGGATCTGTACCTCCTCTTGCATTTCAAATGTCAATGCACTTTTTATAACATTTTTCTGCTTCCAAGTGGCTAGTTGTAGGTTTTTGCTTAAGTTTTTTTTTTTTTTTTTTTAGATTATGGCGGATAGCAGAAACTGACAGTTAAGTGAGTGAAAGTTAATCAAGGTTTTACTGTACTTTAGATTTCCATGAATGAGTCAAGAACTGACATCACTGCACTTGGGACATTTCCACACATGCTCAGTCTCATTTCTCAGTAGACAATAAGGAGTTTCCATGCTAATAGTTCCAGCTGCAACCTGATCAAAAGTCTGCCTACATTTTCCCTTCAGCTTTGTCCAAAACCTCTACTTACCCCCTGTTGCTGTATGTTCTGCTGGGCTGTTTACATCATCCGTGAGAGCCTTCACCATGTCCACTTTATCATTAAATATGTCACTGCCCAGAGGATTGGCAGCAGCCAGTCTGTTGGCCTGCTCATTACCCCTCACACTCAAATGACCTGGACAGAATAGAGTTCCATAATTTATTGAACATTTTAAAAGCTAATGCTGCCTTGCTAATACCAATCATAATTTATTTGATCATAGTGCATTTATCATGGAGGAGCTACCCGAGCCAGTCGTGGGAGCTTTCTCCATTCAGAAGCCAAGTCACAGAAAAATGGACTTTGAGATGCCCTTTGAGGGTCTGATGAAGAGAAGTATCCTAGCTCGACAGGAGATGCAAACTGGAGCTAGAGGCAGCCACGTGAATGATTGGGACCAAGACAGTGATGTAGAGGGCAGCTGGGAGGATGAGAAGATCCGAGGGAAACCACGGGGTAAAAGTGAAGAAGATAAAGAGAACTATCCGTCCCGATCACCAGATGTCACAAGGCAGCAAAATATGTCAGTGGAGGACGAGTTTGTGATGGTTGATGTGAGTTGTGCTTTAGATTTTTGTTAGCCTGTCTCCTCTTCTTCATTTTTGTGTTCACCAGCTGCAAACTCCTGCAGAAAGTTCTAATTGTTCATCCACTTCTGGACTTTATTCTTGTTCTTAATCTTGAATTTGTTCGTCACATCCATTTTACAGATCTGGTCCTCAAAGCAGAATAAAACACCATTAATTGGTTAATTCTCATGCCATGCTTGTTGGGGAGAAGGGGGGGGGGGAGAGTGCCTATTCTTTTTATTCCCAAAACTAGGACCCCCAGAACCTACATGGACCCTGTCACCTAAATCAAGCGACATAGTTTCTTTTTCTTCTGCATTCACCATTAAAAGATTTGTAAACACGCTGTGGCTGAAATATCTGTGCCTACATGTCTGATTTAAGCAAACTCCTAACTATAGTGTATTTTTAAATTTATGCCATTGTATTTTCATTATTTCTTGGTTATTACTTATCCTAGAAACTACATGTTTTGCAGGCGCTCCTGTTTTCATCTTGACATTAATGTTTTAGTTATAAATAACATTTAGACTGCCTAATTATATTTAAACAGACATTTTCTTTGTTATTTTCTTCACTTGTATAATTTTATTTAGGTAGCAAAACACATTTTATAGTATCGACATGAATTACTCTAACCACATAAGCTACCCCTTTACATGAACTTGGAAATGATCCAGCGCACTTATTTTGTAGCGTATTGACATACTTTCATTGCGACAGTTGTGGTCTTATTCAGAATTCACTTAAAAAGAAACACATTGTTGTGAATGGTCGATTGGTTATGTTTGCATTATGATTACTTGTTAGGTGGGGAGAAAATTTAACACAAGGATGAGAATGGAGTTAATTTTGATATATAATTTTATCCATTTATATTCCACGACAGCTGAGACGTAACTTTTTGTTTTTTTTAAAACACCGGCACCAATTTGTAAATACACTATAGTCGTCACTTTTTACGAAGTGCTTGTTGGGGGCAGTGTGTCTGTTCATTCCCCCTCCCTAAATGGGGCAGCAGAATCTGACAGGGGGAACCAGGGTTCCAGTTGTTGTTTTTTTTTCTTCTTCTTTAAAGTAAAAATTAAAGTATTTTTTTGTTGTTGACATTATTAGTGCTTTAGGCATATTGTGGTAGACCTATATGTTTATCATCATCACGTGCTGGTTCATTGTATTCGGTCTTCACATCGGCGCCTTTACTTCCTAAAATACTCCTTTGTACCCATTTAGTTTGGGTCCACTGGGGGCCCTATTTATTGATTCTCTATTCATCTCTTGTGTCCAATTTAGTGCCATCTTCTCAGTTTATAACTGTTGACCACAGGTGATTGCTAAGACATTTCTCTTATTTCTTCATCCTCTTGAATTCATCCCATTTATGTTCACCTTTTTTCTCAGGCATTTGTTTTCAAATGCATTTAATTTTCATTCTATGTCTTTAGTGATTCTCTAGCTTAAACTGGCATAGTTTAACTGAAATAACATTAGAGATAGTGATTTAAAGAAAGTTATTAATTTGTTAAATTTTTTGCTATTTAATATTTCTTTGTTTTAAATTTTCTTCGATCAGAAACCTCCATTTGCAGCCGATGATGACCCACGAGACGTGAAATCATTCTTAAGCGTCATGTTTCGACCAGCTAACCTGTACGACATGCCAGGTGGTAAAATATCGGTCACTGACTATTTAAATGACGTTGAAGCATTTGTCTCTAAGCTGGAGAAAGGCATGCCGGAGCTGGATGAGTTTTGTGAGTCGGTCATCAGTGCCCACAGTCGGGAAGAGGATGAGAGTCATTCGCTGTTCAGTTAATGTTTTCATGGAGGATCATCAGATGAAATCCTTTTACCAGTCCAGTTATACAGGGTCAGCCCGTATGATTGCCACAATTTGAAGCTGTTATTATAAAAGAAATATTTTTATTAATATACACGTGTGGCATCTTGAAATGTTTTTTAAAAAAAGTTTAAAAGACTTCTCATTGAAAACCTTCATCTGGATGCCATTTGTAGCTCTGATGATGTTTGGACAGTATTTAGTCTCCTGCCACATCTTCTGAATCGTGTCCAGAGTTACAGTTGCAATTGCTGCAGCGACCCTCTCTTTAAAGTGCTGGAAAAAGGTTTTTGACTTTTACTTTTGTAAAATTTCACTATGATTCCTGACTGGTACGTCAATGTAATATTTCACTATGATTCCTGACTGGTACGTCAATGTAATATTTCACTATTATTCCTGACTGGTACATCAGTGTAATATTTCACTATGATTCCTGACTGGTACGTCAATGTAATATTTCACTATGATTCCTGACTGGTACATCAGTGTAATATTTCACTATGATTCCTGACTGGTACGTCAATGTAATATTTCACTATGATTCCTGACTGGTACGTCAATGTAATATTTCACTATGATTCCTGACTGGTACGTCAATGTAATATTTCACTATTATTCCTGACTGGTACATCAATGTAATATTTCACTATTATTCCTGACTGGTACATCAGTGTAATATTTCACTATGATTCCTGACTGGTACGTCAATGTAATATTTCACTATGATTCCTGACTGGTACGTCAATGTAATATTTCACTATGATTCCTGACTGGTACGTCAATGTAATATTTTACTATGATTCCTGACTGGTACGTCAATGTAATATTTCACTATGATTCCTGACTGGTACATCAGTGTAATATTTCACTATGATTCCTGACTGGTACATCAGTGTAATATTTCACTATGATTCCTGACTGGTACGTCAATGTAATATTTCACTATGATTCCTGACTGGTACGTCAATGTAATATTTCACTATGATTCCTGACTGGTACGTCAATGTAATATTTCACTATGATTCCTGACTGGTACGTCAATGTAATATTTTACTATGATTCCTGACTGGTACGTCAATGTAATATTTCACTATGATTCCTGACTGGTACGTCAATGTAATATTTTACTATGATTCCTGACTGGTACATCAGTGTAATATTTCACTATGATTCCTGACTGGTACGTCAATGTAATATTTCACTATTATTCCTGACTGGTACGTCAATGTAATATTTCACTATGATTCCTGACTGGTACGTCAATGTAATATTTCACTATGATTCCTGACTGGTACGTCAATGTAATATTTCACTATGATTCCTGACTGGTACGTCAATGTAATATTTCACTATGATTCCTGACTGGTACATCAGTGTAATATTTCACCATGATTCCTGACTGGTACGTCAATGTAATATTTCACTATGATTCCTGACTGTGAAACATTATTACAATATCTCAGCGTGATTCTTGGCTGGTACATCACAAAGGATTAAAGAGGTGAAATAGATCTTAGCTTATTGAGAAGCCAAGTTATGAAGCTGTTTATCTCGTGTTCTGAAGGAGGTGAACTAGTTTCACAACTGTTCCATTCGGTTAATGAGTGCACATTTTACTCAGATCCTTGGGATCTTTGCTGGAGCTACAGAGTTCATGCATTATGCAGTGCTCTCAGCAGGAGGCTGACAAAGCTATATAGGATAAAACCCGATGCAATGAGGTCAGTCCTCTCGACTTTCTGTATCTGATACATTACAGATAGGTGAAGAAAAGTAGATGAGATAGATCTCACTTTGTATGCTTTCTGTATCTGATACATTACAGACAGGTGAAGAAAGATACATGAGATAGATCTCACTTTGTATGCTTTCTGCATCTGATATATTACAGACAGGTGAAGAAAGGTAGATGAGATAGATCTCACTTTGCTTTCTGTATCTGATACATTACAGACAGGTGAAGAAAGATACATGAGATAGATCTCACTTTGTATGCTTTCTGTATCTGATACATTACAGACAGGTGAAGAAAGATACATGAGATAGATCTCACTTTGTATGCTTTCTGTATCTGATACATTACAGACAGGTGAAGAAAGATAGATGGGATAGATCTCACTTTGTATGCTTTCTGTATCTGATACATTACAGACAGGTGAAGAAAGATAGATGGGATAGATCTCACTTTGTATGCTTTCTGTATCTGATACATTACAGACAGGTGAAGAAAGGTAGATGAGATGTATCTCAGCTTGTATAATTCCTTAAATTAATACATTATGCAGAGGCAAGGAGAGAGAGATAAGATGTATCTTAGCGTTATGATTTTTTAAATCTCATTTACCACACAGAGGTGAAGAAAGGTAGATGAGATAGATTTCAGTTTGTTTGCTTTCTGAATCTGATACATCAGAAACAGGTGAAGAAAGATATACGAGATAAATCTCAACTTGTGTAATTCCTTCGTCTGATATATTACACAGAGGTGAAGAGAGACAGATCCTAACTTGTATGCTTCCATAATCTGATACATTCATTATCATCATTATCCCTTAACACTACGTGTGGGGTCACCAGTTTCTGTTGACTGTCTGAGACGCACCATGCTGTTGACAGTCTGATATATTACACACAGATAGAGAGATAGCTCTCAACTCGTATGATTCCTTAGTCTGAAATGTCACACAGAAATGAAGAGATACAGACGAGATAGATGTCAAATTGAATAATTCTTTAATCTGAAACATTACAAAGAGGTAGGGACAGATGAGTGTGTGGGATGGGATGTACATAGTCGAAATCATTGCTCAAATGATTTGCTATAAATTGTGACGCATAATTTGAGTTTCAAACCCTAACCCGAGAAGGCTAGATCTTTTTACTTTTGCTGTGGCCTTTTCTTGAAAAGCGTTGTTAAATGCACATTGGTTCTATTTGCATCTGTATAGTGTTTAGGAAACCCTGATTTGAATGTAAATATAGCATTAAGTTGCCTAAGAAAAATATTTGATATTAAATGGCAGGACAAGATCACAAACACTGAAGTTTTGGAAAGAGCAGGTGTTAAACAGTTTCTCAGTGGTCAGTCTATGAACGAACGAACGAACAAACTTTATTTTCAAAGGGTTGAGAATTGGGCATGCAGGCACGTCTAACATTCTGCCCTTCCACTCCGATCCTTTCATACAATTTTTCATTTGTACCTCATTTCATAGTTAATAATAATAACAATAATAATAATAATAAACATAATAATAATAAAAAGAGGAATGCAAAATTAAAAATGTAAGAAATGTAGAAAAGTTTAAACAAAAAAAAAGGCTCAAGTAGCTGGGTCACACCTGGAGAGTGAAGGGAGAAATGATTGCAGAAAGGGTGAGAGCTGAGCATCTGAGAAGAAACAGCTTAAACACAAATTTGACAAGAACTGCCCTGAAATCACATGCTCTAAATGCGGAAGACTTTTCTTAACGCGGGCAGGTCTTGTTAGTCACACTCACCATCGCCATCGCCATCGCGAGTCTCATGCCTCCTCATAGCACAATATAAAACTGTCGTCTGGAAAGATGGGAAGTGCCAATCATAACATTTAGATGGGTTTCCTTGAGACTTCTTTTTGAAGCCAGCTGATTGAAAAATGTTCCTGTAAGATTCGGGGACAGATGTCACATGATCACAATGTGTCACCCAGTACATATTTTTCTGAGGCTACGATGAATGTATTCCATTTTTTTTTTAAAACATACCTATATAAATAAATTTTTAGAAACATTTAGGAGTGATCTGTGTAAAATTGTTGTTTTAACAAAAAAAATTTTTTTAGAATTCCCGAGGGGTAAAGGCCTATTTTTTTAGTGCTACGGGGTGGAAGGGTGAGAACACTTGGATTGTTACATTCCCTGTTGGCTGTTATTTATTGATTTTGCGGGCTGTTTAGCATATGGATTTTATACGCAGTCTATATATTTGATTTTATTTATCTTAGGAGGCAAATTCCTAACCTATATACTCTGAAATTTGTTTTATTGAATTCTTCTCAGGTTTTTAATAATCCCATTTTTACTAGACTTAATGATTCTTGGGAGTCACCATGGTGTAGTGGCTAGACACTCGCGTGCAAATCGAAAGGTTGTGGGTTCGCTCCCTGGTGGAGTCAGACTTTTTTTTTAATGACCTTGACTCCTAGGTCGACCCAGCCTTGAGTGGGTACCAGGTGCAGTCCGGGGAAGTAAAAGTGACCGGCGTGATGCTGACCACATCACCCATCTTGTGCCTATTGGTCTGTCTTATATACCCTATACGCCTAAAGGCTTGGAAAAAACATTACTTTTTTACTAATGATTCTTAATCATTCCCCAGATGCTGTCCGTTAAAGTGTGTTCAGATTTATAACAGTCCCATCTATATTGAAGCTCAAATGTTGTTTTCTTAGAGTATGCGTAGAATTTGTTCAATTTAAATTTGTTCCTTGAAGTGTTTTTAGATTTATAATAATCCCATTTCTATTAAAGCTCAACGGTTGTTGTCATAATGTGGCACACAATTTGTTATCTTAGCTACTGACCACTGTCATCATTACTCTCTCAGTGTATCAGAGGTTTCTTTGTCATTAGTCTTCAGGGTATTGTATTTAAAAGTCATGTTTCAGTTTATCTTGTTATCTTCACCCTTTGGTGTATCAAATATCTATCTGAGTAACATGTCACAATATGTATCAGGATGTCCTATGATTGGGAACTTGCTGGTGAGACTTGAAACAAGATAGGAAACCAGGGCACTAATGGATCTGTGCAGTTAAGATAAGCCTGAGATGTTGAGTCTGATGTCAGTGTTAAGATATCAGTCCATGTGAGAAAGATTACTAGTCAGCTTTACATTGTCACAGTCTTCTTCTTGTTCTTCATCTCGACTTCCTCTATTACAGCTGTGGATGTTGAGGGAGATATAAGGTTCTGCTTCTTGCTGTTCTGGTC